GCATGTTTACCTTTTTGTGAAGTACTACTGAACCATTTTCTGCAGTCCATTGTAAAACCTATTGGTGCTAACAGGTTTGTGCAAATGGGTGGCATTCAGAAACCTCTTACTGCTGCCAAATGTTTTGTGACCCCAGCATTGAGATTTTTTTTAAAAAAAAACATGTCAGAAGTGGCTTGAGAAACTGGAAGTTGCTTCTGGTGTGAGAGAATTGGCTGTCTGCAGAGACTTTGCTCAAGGGACGACTGGATGTGTTACCATCCGATGGAGACGCTTCTCTCATGTCCCTGCATAAGAAGCTGAAGCTGATAGACAGGAGCTCACCTGATTCGCTGATTTGAACCGCTGACCTTCAGATAAGCAGCTTGGCCGGCACAAGGCTTTAACCTATTGTGCCACCATGGCTCCTTAGCATTGAGTTAAGGGTGGCATATTTGGGGTCGGGACCCACAGTTGAAGAAGTAGTGATCTAGAGGTCATCAGGTTAGAAGCTTACAACAATGATTAATGTTTTTAATTATTGCAAGGCTAAAGATACAGTGGGGTAAACATGTATGTTTGTGAGGCTGAGGGCACATCAATATTGTAGAATTAATGCAGTTTGACACCTCTTATACCATATCCCAATGTTATGGGATCCTGTGAGTTGGGAGACCCAAGTTCAAGTTCCTAATGAGCCATTAAGCTCTTGATGTATGACATTGGACAAATCACTGCCTCTCAGTCAGACTTACCGTTTTTGCTGTTGTTGTTCTTGTTGTTGTTGTTGTGTGCCTCTAAGTTATTTCTGGCCTATGGTGAGCCAAAGGCAAACCTATCACAGTGTTTCCTTGGCAATATTTATTCAGAGGGGCTTTGCCTTTGTCTTCCTCTGAGACTGAGAGAGTATGACTTGCCCAAGGTAACTCAGTGAGTTTCATGGCTGAGTGAGGATTCAATTCCTGGTATCTGGAGTTGTAGTCCAATGCTTATACCACTATACCACACTAGCTCCAGATTTACCTTACAAGGTTGGAGAGGAAGTGAGCCTCTATTGTGCTCTGCTCGATTGTAAGCGTGGTAGCAACCAGTGCAGTGGTAGCACAGCGGGTTAAACCACCAATTGCAGAAAATCTTGCCAACTGGAAGATTGGCAGTTCAAGCCACAGGTTGGGGTGATCTCCTGCCATTAGCCCTAGCTCCTGCCTACCTAGCAGTTCAAAACCAATAATGTGAGTAGATCAATAGGTACTATTTTGGCAGAGAGGAAAAAGGCATCCGGCAATTAGATCAGGAAGGCATCCACAGACAATAAGCTCCTCAGCATGGAAAATGGAACAAGAGCACCTCCCCATGGCTAGGGTTGAGCACAGCCTCCAGATGCCGGAGATGGAAAGGAGGAAGCCTTTGCCTCTCTGTGTACTGTTTGTCTTTGTTGTTAATTGTATAATGTATTAAATGTTTGCCATATATGTATTATGTAATCTGCTCTGAATCCCCTTGGGGAAATAGAGCGGAATATTAAAAAGTATATTATTATTATTATTATTATTTGAACTCACTGAGGAAGGCAGGACAAGATGAAATAAATCAGATATCCATAGATAACAAAAATACATGCCCGAAGGGAGGTAGGGAATAATATGTAGTCATAATCCAAACCTGCAAATGTTGCAAATATAGGTGCAGGGACATATTTTGGAAGTTTCCTGTCCCCTTTAAGAATTATATATTGAAACTGCTGGCATCAAATGTACTTTCCTAAAGTTTTATCAGTTTTGTAAAACCCTGGCATGTGATTTCATAAATGCATGAACACATTAAAATATTTGCAAAATTAGCAAGGGATGGAAGAAGCTAGAAAAGTATGTTTCTTTAAATTACTAATGCATCAAGTGATTCTAAAATCAGTTTCATACAAAGGCTTTGTGGTATCAGATTCAATTAATGTGACAACCACAAGCAACACAGTGTGAGAATCCCTATTAGTCCAAATTCAAATTAGGGTGAGCATCCCTGTCACAAGAAAAGACAAACAAATTAACTATCACCACGTCCATATGGTGCCTATTGATTTCTACATGTTCATATTTGAGAATTCCAGCATTAAATCAACTATGAAGGAACCTGTTCTCTGGGCAAGCTCTGCCTCAGCCTCCAGAATCCTATCAAGCAACCAGTTTCTTTTCTTGGAGGGATGTATAGGCCAGCAATAAGATACTGAGAGGCAGTGTGTAGCAGTGATTTCAGTATTGGACTGAAAACCAGGGTCCAAATGCTCTGTCAGCCATGAAAACTCACTGGGTGACTTTGTGCAAGCCACACTTGTCCAGCCTCAGAAGAAGGCAATGGCAAACCCCTCTCTGAACACACATTTTTCAAGAAAACTTTATGATAGGGTTTTCTAGGCTCACCATAACTCAAACATTCCTTGAAGACACACAAGATAATTGTCATTGTATGTGTAGGCCGATCTTGCATACCAAAGCACTTTCCATATCCATCTCATGTACTATTGGATTCTCCAGTATTTACTTGGAGGTGATGAACAAATTTTATCCCTGATGAAATTTTTTTTTGAAATATTACAAATATTAAATATTATAATTTTAACATAATAACTGTTTGTATATTTATTTATTTTTATTTTTTCAAACCTTGTGATTGAAATATTACTACTTGATTTAAGAGAAAGGTGGAAAATAAATCTAGCTAAACATTATCTGATTTGGAAGATATCCAGTCATTCTCGTCTCATTGTGTTTTTGTTCACTAGTCATATCCCTGCAGGAGGAAACCCCATAATTTTCAGTGGGTTGCTATTCCCACATAAATGTGTGTATATTTATTTATTTATTTATTTATTTATTTATTTTATTTAAGACATTTATATGCTGCCCTTCTCATCCCAAAGGGGACTCAGAGTGGCTATATATATATATATATATATATATATATATATATATATATATACACACACACACACACACACACACACACACACACACATAAATACAATATATTAAATTATTAGCATAGTACAATATCAGCACCATACATTACTGTATTGTACTACACCATTATGTTGCAATATTATTAGTAATATTACATGTAATATAAAATTTGTAATTATAATATTGTATTATTATTATTATTAGTAGTAGTAGTAGTAGTATAGGGCTGAAGACTAAGGGTGCATCTAGACTGTAGAATAAATGCAGGTTGACCCCACTTTATCTGCTCAAGGTTATAGAATCCTTGGAGTTGAAGTTTGGTGAGGCACCAGCACTCATGGGCAGAGAAGGGTAAAGACCTTATTGAACTACCACTTCCAAAGTGGTAGTTCAATACAAAAGACCAGAGAAGCAGATGATGAAAACAGAAGAATGGCCTGCCTCAGGGGAATGTGCTTGCTCCATCAATGTTTAACATAAAGGATCAGCCTTTGCCAGAAGGGACAGAGTTTCATCTATGCTGATGATTGTGCCATCACCACTCAAACAGGGAACTTTGACATGGCTGAAGAGAAGCTCTCCAAAGCTTTAGCGGCTCTTACTGCCTGTTACAGGGACAATGCAGACGTGTGCTTTTCATTTTAAGAACAGACAAGCATCTTGAGCTCTGAGGATCACCTGCTGGGAAGTAATCCCACTGGAGCACTGCAGCACCCCAAATACCTGGGAGTTACCCTTGTCCATGCTCTGACTTATAAGAAGCACTGCTTGAATATCAAGCAAAAAGTGGGTGCTAGAAATAATATCATATGAAAGCTGACTGGCACAATCTAGGGATCACAAACAGACACGGTGAAGACATCTGCCCTCGTGCTTTACTACTCTGCTGCTGAATATGCATACCCAGTGTGGAAAACATCTCACCACATTAAAACAGTGGATGTGGCTCTTAATGAGACAGGCCACATTATCACAAGATGTCTATGCCCCACACCACTGGAGAAATTACACTGTTTAGTTGGTATTGCACCACCTGACATCCAGCCAGCAATTAAAGGACCAAGGCATTAACATCTTTGGCCCATCCTCTGTTCGGATATCAGCCAGCATGTCAACACCTTAAATGAAGAAAAAGCTCCCTAAGATCAAGAGAGATACTCACACAAACACCTCAGCAAGCAAGAATCAAAAATTGGCAGGTTAAAACCCAGCACCTCAATCAGTGGCTGATACCAGATGAGTTACTCCCTCCTGGGCACATAGAAGAGTGGACAATCTAGAGTGAACAGGCTACGCTCTGGCACCATGAGATGCAGAGCTAACCTTAAGAAATGGGGCCACAAAGTGGAGTCCATGACATGTGAGTGTGGAGAAGATCAACCACAGACCACTGGCTACAATGCAACCTGAGCCCTGTGGCACGCACAATGAAGGACCTTCTCACAGCAACACCAGAGGCACTCCAAGTAGCCAGCTTCTGGTCAAAGACATTTAGCATAATGTCAAGGTTTTTAAAACTTTGTGTTTTTAACTGCATTTTAACTGTACCCTCAACTTGCTTCTGACACGACAAATAAATAAAGTGCCATTAATTCAACTGTGTAGATGCACTCTGAGAGAAGTTCATTAATTAATGTTTTTATTTCGTTTATTGGTGGTAAGATCCCCAGCTATTCCCTCTCTACACACATTTTTTCCCCTCCTTTTTTCACACAAAGGGAAAAGCAATGTATTGATCCTTCCTTCCGTCTTCCATGAGTCACAACAGCATCTCCCACAACTTCACTTCTGGAGAGCCAAGTCGATTGAAACCAACGGGCCCGGACTTCTCTAGTGACCTCAGCAGATTTCCCAGCACAGCTGCCTAATAAGCAAGCACCCGTCCCTTGCAATGGAGATGGGGCGGGGGGAGACTTACTTTTTTCATCACCCGGGATTTTCCTCCTAGCAGTGGCCCTATCAAATAAATAGGGTCAGAGATGCCCTACAACTCACTCAGCCTTCTGGTCCCACAAACCACTCAGGGCAAAGAAAAGCCAAGGCAAACCCAAAGCCTGAAAGGACACCATGCGCGCTCTGCTCTCCGCATGTAAGTTGGGAGAACTTGGCGCACTGGCTCTCCAAGGACGCGCCTCCAACTTTGGACGCAGAAGTTCAGCATTCATCTTCTCTCTCTCTCTCTCTTCCCCCCCCCCCCCCTATCAGGCTTCTGCTTCTGGGCGAGCGCTGCCCTTCTGCTCCGTGTGGACTCGTTCCCCGTGGGCGATTCTTCTGGGGAGGACGAATTAGGAGACGAGCCCCAGGGATATTCACCGCGGCGCGCTTGCACTGGTTTGGTTTGGGGACTCCACTCCACAGCCTCCGGGTGGAAAGACCAGGTGAGATCGCGGTGAAATCCGAGTGCCTCCTACACTGTGAAGGGTCTGGTGCGACTGCCATCTCCCCTGGCTCCCCTGTAACGCCAGAACTCGTTACTTTTTATTTCAAAACGCAAGGAGACACTACTAAACGCGGGGACGCAGAAGCCAACATGGTGCGCCTTTGGCTACTTCACCCAAACTGGTTCTACACTGAGCATATAATGCAGTTTGAAATACATTGAACTGGATTATATGGTCAGTATAGAGCTGTAGTTTGAACTGCATTACATGCTCAGTGTAGAACCAGCCCCAAACTTGGACTTTGGGAAGTTATCAAGAAAGGGGGTTCATCCCTCCCAAAATGCAATCCTAGACTTTTTTTCCCTATGTCAGGAGCAACTTAAGAAACTGCAAGTCGCTTCTGGTGTGAAAGAATTGGCCGTCTGCAAAGACGTTGCCCAGGGGCGCCCAGATGTTTTGATGTTTGACCATCCTTGTGGGAGGCTTCTCTCATGTCCCCACATGGGGAGCGGGAGCTGACAGAGGGAGCTCATCCACACTCTCCTCGGATTTGAACCTGCAACCTATCAGTCTTCAGACCTGCCGGCACAAGGGTTTAACCCACTGCACCACCGTATGCGCCCAGACTGTGCAAATAGGACACTTAAGATACAGAGCCGCCTTAGATGACCACAAGCTGATGTTTGAGGTGACTGGTTCAGCAGGATGGTATGGGTTAAGGTATTCTTCTCCCAAAGATGAAAATACAGACAAGGCGGGGAGTGTAAGGGGTAAGGATAAGAAGTGAACCTGTGATCAGCATCAGGATTTAGGGCAGTGTTTCTCAACCTGAGGGTTGGGACCTCTGGGAGGTTGTGAGGGGGGTTTCAGAGGGGCTGCCAAAAACCATCGGAAAACATATATTTTGGATGGTCTTAGGAGCCCCTTTGACAGCAACTGCAATTCCCAAATGACAAAATCAATCCCCCCAACCCCAGCAGTATTCACATTTTGACATATAAGGTATTTGTGCCATATTTGGGTTCACAGTGCTCAAAGGAAGGTGAACTACACCTCCCCTAAATCATTGTCAATTCCTTCCAAATCTCTCCAGTATTTGTTGGTCATGGGGGTTCTGTGTGGGGTTTGGCCCAATATTTGGGTTCTATTATTGGTGGGGTTCAAGGAGCTCTTTGATTGTAGGTGAACTCCACCAGTGTTCACATTTGGACATATCGAGTATTTGTGCCAAGTTTGATCCAGATCCATCATTGTTTGAGTTCACAGTGCTCTCTGGATGGAGGTGAACTACAACTCCAAAACTCAAGGTCAATGCCCACCAAACCCTTCCAGTATTTTCTGTTGGTCGTGGGAGTTCTGTGTGCTAATTTCAGTTCAATTCCATCATTGGTGGAGTCCAGAATGCTCTTTGATTGTAGGTGAACTATAAACCCCAGCAACTACAACTCCCAAATGACAAATGAAGCCAGGTTATTAACAGGTGCTGGACCCAGGGAGCATATTACTCCCCTGCTAAAGCACCTGCACTGGCTGGAAATTCCTTTCCGGGTCCATTTCAAGGTGCTGGTTCAGGTTCTACTTAGCTATCTGACCGCATCTCCTCATACCAACCTGCCCAAATGCTAAGATCTTCTAGCAAGACCCTCCTCTTGTTGCTGCCACTATAGCGCAAATGCAGTTGACAGAGATGAGAGAGAGGGCCTTCTCAGTGGCTCCTCCAACTCTTTGGAACTCCCTCCTCATGGAGGTTGAAACAGCCCCTTCCCTGACATCTTTTAAAAAGCAACTAAAGACCTTCCTATTTGCACAAGCTTTGATGAAGACACTTAGCTGTAATGATAAAAAGGCTAACTTTTATTGAGTTGTGCTAATGTTTACCAACTGTCTTGTTGAGTTGCCTGCAACTGCCTTGAGTCGCTGAAACCGCCTTGGGTCACCGAAAGGCTGAGAAAGGCGGTATACAAATACAGCAAATAAATAAACCAAAAAATGTATTAGACAAATGTTTTTAAAAAATTTTTTCTTATTGTTAATTTGTTTTTGTCGGTATTGTTTTACATATGCATATTGTTTTGAGTTGTTTTTTATATAATATTGTAAGCTGCTTTGGGTTCTGTTTAGGGAGAAAAGCAGGATATAAAGATTCATTATATTATATTGTATTATATTATATTATATTATATTATATTATATTATATTATATTATATTATATTATTATAATGGGGCTGAATGCATATAGCAATGTCATGTAGACATTGTACAAGAAAGATTTCCACTTACAAGTGGTTTAAAATTGTTTCCATATAATTGAGAAGCATAGAGATTTTACTTTAGAATTCTATAAGGATATGTTAAACTGAAGTTGCAGTTCCGATAAATGTGTCCCACTTGGCTTCATGCCTAGTTATTCAGAAACTCACAGCTAAATATTGTGTTGGGAAGTCCTTTATTACTCCAAATGGACAACTAGCACTTCATTACCAGATAATGCCAATCATCTTTTGGGAGAAGATTAAGAACATCCTCACTGACTATATTTATTGACTGAAGAAGAGGGGATTCCTCCCTTACTAAATGCTGTTTGCATGCTCAGTGCTGAAACAAATTAACATTCATATTGAAACCAGCCCTCGTGAACACCTTTTGCAAAAAAAAAAAAAAAAGCACTTAAAAAGGATTGTATAGTGAAAATGATTCTCAGATATGAAACCTCATGCTCACATCTTGGAAATTGGGAAATTTCAAGATTTGCTTCTAAACAAATCAAAATTTCAAAATACAGGGCAATGACTCGGTTCATGCAGCAAATGTTCACCATGGATACTGATGTTTTAATACATAACACCAAAGTTATTCCAGATCAAAGGTCTAATTGAATTTTTTATTATGTTTTGTTTTCCTAGCTCTGTAAGGAGCAAAATGCATGTAGAGGTAGCATGGAAATGCTGGTCCAAAATAATCTCCACCTTCCGAAGATCACTCCAGAAGATGGATGTTCTTACACAGGATTCCAAAAGGCAAGAAGATTGTATTTATTTGTATTGGAAGAATGTAACTTTCTAGCCAGCGTTTAAGTTTGAAATGTTAACAGTCTTCCCTCCAAATTTGCGTTTTTGACTGTTTGAGCATTTGATTATTTATGGATTGGTTCTCTATGTCCTGTGGAGTGACTCTATTATCTACTTCCTGTGGTCATGCTGGAGGACCTAGAGATTTCTAGAGAACACCTCTCTAGGAATCTCTAGGTTCTCCAGTACGATTCTGTGGGCAACCTCAATCAGACTTATGCTGGAAATTCCTCTCGTTAAAAAAAAATTGCAACTTCAGTTTTTAACTTTCAAAGGAGTGCTATACCTCTAACCCCAGTGAATGCAGAGTGTTGACAATATTTTGGCAAATAGGTATTGCTAACTTTTTAAAAAATAGGATTAATAAGGAAATGACACCATACATTTTTTAAAAAATCCTGTTGAAATGCCCTTATAATATATTGAGAAATCCTCTTTCAAGGCAACTGTAAATATAGCTAGAAAACATGCTTGTCGCCAGTACGTATCTTTCCAAATATAAGTAATTTGGTTCTTATTGCTTTTGAAATGTAAAATCATTGTGCCCCCATTACCAAAAATGCAACTTGTTTCAGCTAATATTCCAGAAGAATAATTATTCCTTTTTCCACTTCAGGAGACATGTTTGAGAAGACTTTCAAGTGGCCTTTATGCTTATCAAGCATACCTGGAATACATAGATGATACTTTTAGCAAGTCTATACAGAGGAGTGGATCTCTGTGGACCAGAACACAGCAACTAGCGGATATCTTGAAATCAATGGTAAGCAATGTGTTGTCGAAGGCTTTAATGGCCGGAATCACTGGGTTGCTGTGAGTTTTCCAGGCTGTATGGCCATGTTCCTGAAGCATTCTCTCCTGACGTTTTGCCCACTTCAGTGGCAGGCATCCTCAAAGGTTGCGAGGCCTGTTGGAAACTAGGCAAGTGAGGTTTATATATCTGTGGAATGTCCAGAGTGGTAGAAAGAACTCTTGTCTGTTGGAGGCAAGCGTGAATGTTGCAATTGGCCACTTTGATTAGCATTAGCATTGAATGCATTTATTTTCCTGAATTATAGTAAGGACCCAGATCCGTCAGGGGTATGTTCCCAGATGGACTGCAGTTACATGAAACTGTGGATATGACATGCCACCACTGAATTAACCCCATTTCCGGCCCCAGCAAACTACAGAGTTGCATTGGAGAACCAAGAGATTTCTAAAGTACTATTCTCTCTAGGAATTGTTAGGTCCTCCAACACAAGTCTATGGTAACCTCCTGGCATAATTATAGAGGTCTTAATATATGTTCTATATTTCTGCTGTAATAGTTCTCAATTAGTACAGGTAAACTAAATGAAAACTATAATTACAGCATAAAAATGAATCTATTAAAAACAAATTAAGAAAATTAAGAAATAACATTCTCACTTCAACAAATTAGCTTAAAGCCTGTTTGAAAAGAAACATCTTTGCTACCATCAAGACATTTAAAAAAACAAACAAAATATGAAGTTTTTGTTGGAGTAGGACAAAAAACGAGATATATGCATTTAGTGGCAGTTTCTGTATTAATGAAAAAGTGCCCTACACGAGGTTTTAATCCTAACTTTAATCACACCTTCAAAATGTTGACTCAAAATGCAATGGCAATATTAACCATTCTGTGTCTCTTAACTATTTGGAGAAAGAACAGAGGCATAAAGGAAGGGTTAGAAAGTGATTCTTTTTCTTTCTTTTTTTGTCATGTCAGGAGTGACTCCTGATGTGAGAGAATTGGCCGTCTGCAAGGACGTTGCCCAGGGGATGCCTGGGTGATTTTAATGTTTTTATCATCCTTGTGGGAGGCTTCTCTCATGTCCCCACATGAGGAGCTGGAGCTGATAGAGGGAGCTCACCCGCCTCTTCCCGGATTCAAACCTGCGACCTGTTGGTCTTCAGTCCTGCCGGCACAGGGGTTTAACCCACTGCGCCACCGAACAGGGATCTACCAAATGCCAAAAATAGGATTACATTGGGGGGGGGGGTTAATGGTGAAACTGTGCCAGACCAGCAGAACAAAGTGCCAGTTCTAGATAAAATGAAAATGTACCATGATAGAGTTCAAATACCTCTGTAATCTGAAAATTTTATCCACCTCTTCCTTGTAAATGAGTGTAATACATTTGCAGTTGAACAACATTTTTAAAAGACTTTTTTTGAATTTCTAACTTTCACTTTCCCTAACAGATGAACAATCCTGATGTTGTAACTATGCCGCCTCCTATTACTCAAGATATGATTTCAGTAAAACTACGTGAACAAAAAGCTTGGAATGTAACAGTTATCAAGTTCCTTATACTTCAAGATTTTATCTCATTACTGGAGAAAACTGAAAGAGCTTTTTGCCATTTATGAATGGCCAGGTTTTTTCTGAATGCTTGAAATCAGGCACATCAGTTCTGAAAATCTGTGTGGTAAAACACATGGCATTGCTGTTCTCTTGAAGAACCTTTTATTCTATATAACAGAGGTTTTGTTCTCTTTGAGAACCTGTTCCTCTTTATGGAGGTGATATTTATAAATCTATTGATAATATTTAATGTATTTATTGAATTTTTAAATATATATATATGTTCAGGCTTTGTAATAATTTAAAATAGTATTGTCTAATTGATTTCGGTATCCAAGAGATTATTTAACTTGAAAATATGGCAAAGGAATGTATATCTATTTTATTTTATAATATTTAAAATAATTATAATAAAATATTTTAATACAAAATTGTGTCCTTAGTTCCTTGTAGTCTTACTGTGCTACCATTCTAGTATGATAATTTACTTCAGATCATTATTCATTTTAGTAGATCAAGATGTTTTTAAGCACCAGGTCTATAGTTGTCTGAAAGAAGCACTCATTTTAAGAATGCTTTAGAAAATGCCACCATCTTCTCAAATGATTTCTGGGAACCTGCAAAATATGTTTGCATGCTACATTGATCAGCTAAATAAAACCATAAAGGCAGTGACAAACTGCTTCCAACTCAAGACATCATAATGGTGACAACTGGAAGGCGCCCATTCTGTAATGTTTCTTGATTGGTCTATCAGGAAACCTTTAAGGACAGAAAGCTTGCCTACCTCGTTCTAAAAGAACCAATCCAATCCAAGAAGCCACTGCAAGACTTTGTCCGAACTAGGAAGCTACTCTTAGTATGTGTGTTTTAGCAATCGGATAACTTACTCCTGTTTATTTAAGGCAGCACAAAAGATGACATGTCACCAGAGCAGCAATGAATGTTTTCAAGTATGATGGCAGATAGAAGGAAAAGGAACAAAATCCTACCAGCTCATTGCATTATATCAGTGGTTCCTAACCTGTGAGCCGCAAAACACCAGTGGGCCGTGAGGACAAAAATCTGGTCCGCGAGTCTTCCTCTTTATTTTATTTCCGTTCCTTTTGCAGTGCCTGCCACTCTTGTTGACCATGGCATATGTTCTGTATCAGAAACTAGAGCTGTTGTGGTCTATCCGGTGCAATTTTCTGAATCAGCACCCCAAGTCGAATCTAAAGTTGACCAAAAACTGATTCACAACCCTTTTGGTTTTAATGTTGGAGAGTGGTCCCTGGTCAAAGTGGTCCCTGGTCAAAAAAAGGCGGGGAACCACTGCACTATATAGACAGGAGGCCAAGAGCCATTTGAAACTGTTGCAAGATATAATTTTTTTGTTGGAAGCATTCCTGCAACGGATGGGTTGTAGGTAGCATGACCGCAAAACGACATCTACAGATTTCTAAATAACCATGTCCAACTCTGTTCAGTTTGGACCCCCAACCCCCCATCCACAAGGGCATTCATCATGTGACAACAAGAAAGCTTGGTTCCTGCACCAGCTTCAAGACTGCTGCAAGAAATGAAGCATAGAAAGGGTCCAACAGAAATGCACTTACTCTTTTATGACCCCACTGCAGAAGAAAGGGGCAATTTCAGGAGAGACAGCAGGTCCTATTTATTTCCCCCAGCTAGACTTCTAACTTTTGGCTTTTTGTTAACTGTTATCATAGAAATAGACTTGGTGACCAACAGGAAGACCAAGCAGCTAATTCCAAATCTTAGAGCACTGTGTTTTTATAGGCTGATTTGCACAGAACCACTTGGTGAAACAGCAACTGATAACACTGACCAATGCACATTTTGGTGCTTCAAATGTTAGACCTGTTTGTGAGTATATTTGACCTCCTGATTAAAAAAATAGCCCATTTTCCCCTATCAGCTCTAGTTTTCGAGATACAGAACATATGCCATCTACCAGTTACCATCTCCTCACTCATAAAAAATCATGATAACCATATCTAAGAAAGTAGAGCTGATGCTGTCTGTTCAACGCAACTTTCTGAATCAGCGTCCCAAATAACCCCCAGGAACAGGCCTAAATCCCGAGACATCAAGGAATTTTGTTTTTGTTGGGCTATGTAATCAGAAACAAAAAGCTTTCCTTCTTCCATGGACCAAAATGGCACTCAAAGGCTCAGTGTTCAATGAATTGAGGATGACCCATTTCTATAAGGACTCTTCTCCCTCCAGTGTCCTGAAGGAGATCTTCATTCAATGCCTCACCTGGTTTCCCTAGACCTCTTAGCGTAGACGGCAATCCCTCAAAAATGTATGGTATCAACAACCTATTGATGAGATCAGGTTTCAGTACTTATTCAGTTTTGAGATGGTGTTCCATTCTATATTTCCAATTAAGCTAACTCAAAGAGATCTGAGATAATAATAATAATGCTTAGAGGATCTTGAGGGAAGTAGAAACATTAAACACAAAATGTGATTTTATGGCCATTCAGTTTTACTTTAGAATTTTCCAAGATAAGATCCTGCCAACCTCATGACTGAAATGAAATCTGAACAATATATATGGTTCCTAATGACTGAAACAATGAAATCCCTCAGTCTAGAAACATTGGGCAGGAGATACCATGTCATAACTTGGAAAAAATGTTTTAATTCACTCAAAAAAAATCAGACTAAATATTTATTCAAATAAAAGTCATTGTAACAAATAAATTAGATTGACAGAATTTTCACTGTGTTGTTAAATACATTCTATACAGTCAGGAAACAACTGGCCAGTAGCACAGTGTCATAACACGTCTCCTTTCCAGCCTCTGGAATGTACACATCTTCAACAGCCACTTCCAATTGGTTAAATTGTTCAGCCCCAAAGCAGACTAAGAAAATGTGGTTAAGGAAGAAGAAAAGAAGAAGAGTATTATTAGCAACATCTCTACTGTAGGAAGCAGCAGTACAGTTTAAAATAAATTAGAGCATGGGTCATTAATAGTGCAATGCATTTGAGTACTACTATGGTTTACAATCAGGACAGGCTTCCAGTCATTCTTATGCTGTAATTCTAAGTAGCCCTCACCAATGGCTATGCTGGCTGAGTTAATGAAGGCTGAAGTTCTATTACATCCTGAGGACCACAGTCTCTTTGCCCGAGTTTTAATATGTTCTCTACACTACTAAAATACTAACAGTGCATTAACCTTGGGAGAACTTCACATTCCACAATATCTTGTATCTTATGAATACAACCTGATTAAGTTCCACAATATTACCTTAGAATTGCAGTGACAATGTCCTACCCATTTACTTTTTGGTTATTCAAATATCACCACAAAAACTAAAAGCGAAGATCACATCAAATTTACAACTCTGTCATCCAACTGAATGAATTTTTGGATATCCCAAAGCCTGAGAAAAATATGAAAACGGAAACCAGCATGATATAGAAGTTTGAGCCTTGAACTGACTCTGGAGATCATAATTTGAATTTCTGATCAGTCATGGAAACCCAGCAGTTGCCATGACTAAGAGTAGCACACGTTTAAATTAAGAAAGAACCTTTAGGTTTTTACCAATGTATGTTATATATGTGTTTATGCATATATACAACTGTTTATATAACTGTTTGTTGAATTTTATTATTGTTTATCTTATATGAGTGGTATTTTTGTTGTATGCACTTCATTCAGGAACCCATTTATATGATATTACACTGTTTTAAATTACAAACACTATACACATTTTCCTGGAATTAAGCCCTACTGTGATGTTAATATACTTAATATGCACAGTATGACTTCATACTTGGGAAAAGTAGATGTATACAAGCAAAAACATACAGGCATGTGACAAGATATAGAATTGAATAGATTAATCACATGCAATTAAAAAAAAACAGACAATGGGATTTAACATGACACTTTAATTTCAGAACACAAAATGCCTGCCAGGGAACAGGAAAGCTGTAGAGTATTGAAACGTAACATTTAATACAAACTGCCAGATCTCAGGAGTATTCATACAACAAAGTGCCACATAAAATGTGACTGGTGACAAATGCAAAGAAAATTAATGAAAAGCTTCAATTGTTCGTTGCACTGCTAAAATAATTTTAAAATAAAGGAAATGTCTTTTGTTTGCTAAAGTGAACTTCAAGCAAGATATCAGCTTTACAATGGACAAATCCATTGGTAACTTTCATTTCTAAGAATGGAAGAGGTCTCAAGGCTCGTTTTCCTAAGTTCTTGCTGTCTACCTCATTAACTCGTTAACATTTAAGCTTCTTTATTGTGCATGTGATCAAATCCTTATCAGTACCATCAGGCAACAAGAAAGCAAGCAAGACAAATTTCCATTTTCTGAATATATCCAAATTACAACCCAATAAATTGGGTTTCTAAACCAGTGGTAAGCAAGGTATAACCCTGCAGGTATTAGTGGACTGCAGTTTGAGTGACCTTAGCCAACATAAATGACGATTATGAATATTGGAAGTTCTAATCTAACAACACCGGGAGGAATATATTTGCCTACATCCAGAATAAACCATAATGTCCTACACCTTACCTGAGGGGGGCTACTGGAATTTTAATGCTGCAATTTAAATCTTCTAGTATGCTGTAAGATTATGATTTCAAAATTATCTCCTAGGAAACAAATCTGTCAGCTCAATGGAACTTACTTCCAAATAATCAGGTACATTAGAGGTGTATCCAACTAAATATATTCACATGCAATGAAGGGATTTAGTCTTCCAGATTTTGATGAACTTCTACTCATATCATACCTCACCACTGACCATGCTGACCATGGCTGAATGGAAGTACAGTTCAATAACATCTGACAGATTAGATTCCCCAGCTTTGAAGTCTATAGTTTAAGACCCAAAAGTGTCATCTCTAAACAATTCACAAAATAATATTATCCATTGTTTTCTTGAGCATTCATCATTGTTAAAGAACTATTGATAACTGAACACATACCTTAAAAGGGTTGGCTCAGGCATTCCAGGATCTGCACCCCTCTTAAAACCTGGTTAAAACAATACAAAATCATGACAAATGTAATGAGTATTTTAATAATACAATGAAAATATTACTTTTTTAGTAATATATGCATTTTCCAAAATATTGCTCAGAAAAAAAGGAAGAAAACCAGACCTCAAATCTACAGAAAGGTTTCTATGGTGAGGGCCATTACTGAAGAGAAAAAATCTATTTTACACCATGGTAAAACATATTCAGCAGTTGATAGGGTCTAATAGAGCCGATGAAATGAAGTCATCACTAGAATGAGCATCATCAATGGAACACATATTAAGGTAACCTACATCAACTCTGATGACTGCAGGAGAATAATGCTACCCAACATCTCAGTATCACTGCCGAGTTTGCGATCAAGAGCAGGTCTTTCTCAAAAAGACAAAAAACAAAAGCTAGGAAACTCTAATTCCTAGTATCCTCCAGCACAGCTGAATTTGGAAGGGGGGGGGGGTTGCTAGTAATTGAAGTTCAGATATGCAACTTCTCTGAACTTTGTTTTATTGAATGGTTTTAAATCTTGAGTTAAGTCTTGATTGTCCACAACAACAAAATATGCAGGCAGTCCCCGAGGTACAAGCATCCAACTTACATACAACTCATAATTAAGAACGGGAATGAGACAACAGGAAGGGAAAGAAATCTACCCCTCAGAAGGGAAATTCACTCCAGAAAGAGGGAAAGGTGTCTCCACTGAAGCTTTATCACCAATACTTGTATACACAAGACACATTTTTCAAAATCCAATTATCACAGGGACAGAAAGTGAGGTGAATTCTTCTGAAAAGAGGCACAGACAAGCAAAAAAAAAAAAAACACCACAGGGGTGTTAACCCTTCCCTATGCTATGCCCCCACCCCTCTCTATCCATATACATCTATATCTCTATCTGGAATTACACTTTAAAATGTCCCTGTTCTGACTTACATACAAATTCCACTTAAGAACAAACCTACAGAACCTATCTTGTTTGTAATTTGGGGACTACCTATATTTGAAAGATGTTGCGATAAAGGTTAAGAATGTCTGCTCTATAGGATAATATCACAATGTCACAGTTAAGACACTCTCAAGGTATACTACCCATGTTCATAATGAAGCACAAAGATGTCATATACATTTTAACTACTGAAATCACGTTGCTCCTTGTACACAATGAGATACCAAGAGAAGTCATATATAGAGAATAGAATTAATAATTGTAGTCACATGAAAATTTAGGGGAACAGAAGTATACTCAACAAAATTAGGAAGACTGGGGAAATCCCAATAAAGAACATCCTGACAACTACATGCACCCCCAGTAAACCTCCTATTACTCAAATCTGACAAATGCACTTCTCCAGCAAGCCATTTTAGTCATGTTCATCTTTTATGACAACAATAAATAACTTGAAATTCCAGCTGTCTACAAAATACATAACTTAGCAAGGTAAAAAACATACTACCATTTATTTAAATCAGCCATGCAATTAACCTTCATAGTCACTGATTCATTCAGTTTTGAGTTCTGCCTCTTCCAAAACTCCCACTAGTTATTTACCAACTATGGACAAGCAGATGTTGAATTTTGATATAAATCTGACCCTTGCAATATCACGAAGAACTGTCTGTCCCCCTTTCTGTAACATGCACCCCTGGAAAGGAAATGGAACGTCTATTTAGACCTTGTTAGCTTTTGATATTTAAAAAAAAAACAGATTAAAAAGGTAAGATGTATCCTTCAAAAGAATAAAGGGTGGCAGATTCTAACATCTGGCATGTGAGAAATGTTTGCACATGTTTATTTAAATACTACTTTTTATATTACCGTATATTCCGGGGTATAACACGACTTTTTAGCACTAGAAAATCATTTCAGAAGTTGGGGGTGGTCTTATACGCCAGGTACAGTTTGGCGGGGGTAGAGGAGAGCACCCCCCAAGTCCGCAGGGACAGCAGCGGCGTACCGGCAGCCCTGCACTACATCAACAGAAAATAGAACGCCAGCCTACCTCAGCAAACTTCCTCCAGGCTGTTGCTGGGCTCCTGTTTGGCCACTGCTGTTCCTGTGTGTCCTGGGGCGCCTCTCCTCCGCCCCGCCAACCTGCCAGTGTGTAAGCCGACTCGGGAGGGCCTTCTATCGCCCTCCTTCCCTGGGGTGCTGCTGGGCTGCAACTGTTCCTGCAGGCCCGGAGGGGCCTTTCCTCCACGTGTTATACCCCGGAATATACGGTAAATTTTAAGCAACTGTCACTTATACATGCTATAATAAGCAGGTAACATTATACAGTAAATGCCAGAATACACAAACTGTGTCATGGTAAGGAATTTCATGAAGAGAAAAAAAATACATAGAACTACTTTAAAATAGTCTCAGAGAAGGGTCGAGTACAGGCCTCTCTCCTTGTCTTCCTCCCTTTGCGGGGCAGGAGGCGGAGGAGGAGGCAGAAGACGGGTGGTCTTATATGGTGAGCATATCCCAAACTCTATATTTTAACTGGAAAAGTTGGGGGTCGTCTTATACGCCCAGTCGTCTTATACCCCGGAATATACGGTACTTGAATTACGGTAGCAAGTACTGTATTTGACAGAAAACTCCACTGACTTCAGAAAGAGTAGCATCTAAAGAAACATGCATATGATTGAGCTGCAACTATAACTGAGTAGGGAAGAAAATTAGGGACTATCACACTTGAATAACAACTCATTGCTGGTCAAAGATGTTCCTGCATTGTCATTTGAGGAACATCTTAGGCAGAATTGCCATCGCAGAGTAATTTTAATTCAAATCTCGGCAAGCCTGGCTGATTCCACCCAACCACTGTTTGGGGAGAAAGAATATATAACTGAGGCTTGTAACTGATAGAAGGACAATAAGGGAAAGATGGTGTAGATATTGGAAAATCTGTAATATTGGTAACACAGTCAACTAGGGAAAGAACTGAATAGGGTTTTAGCAGATATGAAGACGATTAAATCGGGGTTATGTACTATCTTCTTAGTATACTTGTTCATTTTTAATCTATTTTACAACTGCTACTGTTAAATTTTGACAGTCTGGTGGTCATGCTTATCAGTGAACCCTCATAATACATCTACTGCTCTACACAGTATCTAGTCCAGGAAGAAATTTTGAGATAAGGGGGCAAGGTGAATATTCGCAATCGCTTTTTTTTTTTTTTGGTCATGTCAGAAGTCGCTTCTGGTGTGAGAGAATTGACCGTCTGCAAGGATGTTGCCCAGGGGACGCCTGGATGATTTTGATGTTTTTTTTTTTTTCATTCTTGTGGGAGGCTTCTCTCATGTCCCCGCATGAGGAGCTGGAGCTGATAGAGGGAGCTCATCCGCCTCTCCCCGGATTCGAACCTGTGACCTGTTGGTCTTCAGTCCTGCTGGCACAGGGGTTTAATCCACTGCGCCACCGGGGGCTCCTTTTGCAATTGCTAATAGATTGTAAATACTCCCTCGGGTTACAGGGAATTCATGCTGAGAAACCCTGTTTTAGGCTGAGAAACCCTGTCTTAGGCTATCAAACAGCTAACTAGGAGAATTTGCAGAAATGTGCAACTATGGCTTCCAAGTGTCCCTTCTGTCAATGAACACTTCTCATTACAAATGACCTTTCCAGTTACGGATACATAGAACAAAAGGACAGGAACCATTTGAATCAAATCAAATGCCTGGATAATACAATGGCCAACCAAATACCCATAAACAGAACAAGAACATGACATTAACTCGACAAGTTATTAATTTGTACATTTCCTCTAACTTGTTTAGGAATACACTTTTGTGAAATAATTAGGCGATGGATTTCCCACTGCCACATTAACAAAAGCATAAGCCCTGCTGGATCAGGCACAGATGTAGCCGGGGGGGGGGGAGGGCTTGAGGGGCTTCAGCCCCCCCCCCCCAAAATTATCATGGTGGTTCGCAAAAAGGCCTTACTGGTGCATTATTTAAACTGTTATGTTTATTCATATCATGATCTGATCACCATACTCAATATATCCCATATGCATGGGGGTATTGGGGTAATGATACAAAAGGTTTGCTAGGCTAGACCCTCTTTCACTCAGACTCAGCCACCCCCCCCCCGAACCCCCCCCTGAAAAAAATTCCCCCCCCCCCCCCCCCGAAACGAAATCCTGGCTACGGGCCTGATCAGGCAAAAATATATTTGAACTGAAGAAAATGTATAACAGGCAGACTGTATAATTTCTTTTAAGAGTCAGCAGAAAGTGGATATTTCTGGAGAATAGCTGGGAATAGCAAAGAAGAAAAAAGGAGGTCTTGGGGGTACAGTGGGTGAATGATTTGTTTGGTTTGCAAAATACCAAGGCCCTCAAGAAGCCAGGGCCTTTTCAGAGCATCAGACCTTTTAGGCTTGAAAGGAAGTTGACAACCCTCACTATGGACCTCTACGGAGGGAAAGTGTATGGAATTTTTCCAAGGGTGTGCTATGACTGTCCTCAGTTCTTTTTTCTATATACAAAAGAAATGGAGGAGATGAAATGAGGTAGTACCTTTAAGACAATTTATTTTAGCATGAACTTTCACATGTTTCAATAATTTATTAAAGTTTCTGCTAAAATAATCCACCTGCGAGATTCCTCCTCACTCTCATTCTATTGTGGACTGGTCAGTTAATCTAGAATGATTTCACTATATTCCAACAATTTCATTCCATATAATATCTTGCTGTATTTCCCTTTTGTTTCACTTTCAAATCTCTAACATTCAACATGGTTGTCATAATTTTCAAAGCTAATTCTCCAAACCCCGAGCAGCTAGTTGACTAGATTTGTCCCCATTCATATAATAGCCAGAATTTTCTCCAAAGAGACTTCCCAATGAATGTTGAGTAAGGAAATCTAGTCAGGGATACTGTGTGGTAAAAAAGGAGAAGTTGTATCCTGAACAGAATCAACTGACGAATAACTGACCAACCATGCAAATTAATGGTGCAGCAGGTTAAACACTGAGCTGCTGAACTTACTAACTGAAAGGTTGGCGATTCAAACCCAGGGAGCGAAGCGAGTTCCCACTGTTAGCCACACTAGAAGTTAAAAAACATGCAAATGTGAGTAGATCAATAGGTGCCCCTTCAGCAGGAAAGTCACAGAGCTCCATGCAGTCATGCTGGCCACATGACCAAGGAGGTGTCTACGGACAACGCCGGCTCTTTGGCTTAAAAACGGAGATGAGCACCATCCCCTAGACTTAATGTCAAGGGAAGCCTTTACCTTTTTAATGCAAATTGAATACTTATAATATTTAAAATATTATAATATAATGCAAAAATATTAATATGATGTTATAATTATATATTTATACTACATGTAATATTACTAATAATATAACAATAGTACAATATAGTAATATTTAATACTGATATTGTACTATGCTAATAATATATTGCATGTGTGTGTGTGTGTGTGTTTATATATATATAAATGTATATAAATATATAGACAGAGGGGAGCAGAAGACATTTCCATCTTGTCTTCTGCCTATATCATCAGTTGGGAGGCCCCTCCCCCTCTGGCACCAACTGCTACTCTGGCCAGAGTGAAGACAGAGGGGAACAGAAGACAGTTCCATCTTGTAAGCGGCACTGAGTCCCCTTCGGGATGAGAGGGGCGGCATATAAATGCTGTAAATAAATAAATATGCCTTATAAGTCGCTCTGAGTCCCCTTCAGAGTGAGAAGGGTGGCATATAAATGCTGTAAATAAATAAATATGCCTTATARRTCGCTCTGAGTCCCCTTCAGRGTGAGAAGGGYGGCATATAAATGCTGTAAATAAATAAATATGCCTTATAGGTCGCTYTGAGTCCCCTTCAGAGTGAGAAGGGCGGCATATAAATGCTGTAAATAAATAAATATGCCTTATAGGTCGCTTTGAGTCCCCTTCAGAGTGAGAAGGGCGGCATATAAATGCTGTAAATAAATAAATATGCCTTATAGGTCGCTCTGAGTCCCCTTCAGAGTGAGAAGGGTGGCATATAAATGCTGTAAATAAATAAATATGCCTTATAGGTCGCTCTGAGTCCCCTTTAGAGTAAGAAGGGCGGCATATAAATGCTGTAAATAAATAAATATGCCTTATAAGTTGCTCTGAGTCCCCTTCAGGGTGAGAAGGGCGGCATATAAATGTCGTAAGTAAGTAAACAAAATAAGTGAGCTTTATACATTCGTGGAACGTCCAGGGTGGGAGAAAAAAACTCTTGTCTGCTTGAGGCAAGTGTGTATGCTGCAATTGATCATCCTGATTAGCATGGAATTGCCTTGCAGCTTCAAGGCTTGGCTGCTTCCTGCCTTAACGAGGATTCCACAGCACTTAGCCATGGCAGTTAAAAGTGGTGTCAACATGCATTAACGCCAGTGTGCAAACGCACCCAAAATGTTTTGGATTTCGTTTCCCAGAAGCCCCAGGTTGCATACTGCAAGGCTGGGATGGAGGGTGAATGAATGAATGAATGCTTAAGGACTGGAGGAAATGACGTCCGGAACACATGGAGAAGATCAGAAATCATCGCCCGCCGCAGTCTCCATAGACGATGGGAAACTCCCGGCTGCCCCGAAGGGCTTCTTCCTGTAAATGCTTGGCGCGAGGCTCAACTAGGCCGCAATGGCTTGCTGCTCACGTCACGGGAGGGGAAAGGGTCACGTGACACCGCCTCGTGCTCGCACACACGCCCCACCCCCACCTGTCCTGTCACAAGCACTCCCAGAATTCCCTGCGCGACCCCGTCTCTTGCTTTTCAAGGCGACGGCTCTTCCCTCACAACTCGAGTCCCTTTCCCCTTTCCCCCTCGATACTGACCTAGATAGAGCACGACAGGAATGAAGCCCCACCGGATGGTGAACTGAGCGCCTTTGAAGATGTTCTGTAGGCGCTGCTTGGCCTCCTTGCTCAGCTTCGGCATGGCGGCGGCGACGGCGGCAGCAGCAGCGGAGGAGGAGGAGGAGGAGGGAAAAGGCCGGGCCTCTCTCACACACGCTCTACTGCGCATGTGCGAGGGGGGCCTGTCCTGGGCGGGGCTAGATGGAGCTGCTGAAGTGAAAGTGGGAAAGGGCCGGGGCGCGAGACTCTGGCACTACTGCGCACGCGCGAGGGCCTGTTCTGGGCGGGCTTCGCTCCTGAGGCCGACAAGGGCGGCGCGTTTCGTCGGTGAGGCTGGAGTGAGATCAGGCCTGGGCAAACTTCGGCCCTCCGGGTGTTTTGGACTTCAACTCCCACAGCCCATTTTAAAGCAAAGGCTTTTGTCATATATTGAATTAGAAGTGTCAGGTGTTCAAGCTGAGTTCAGAAATGGAAGCTGCAAAAGAGATCACATTGCAAGCATATGTTAGAGAGCAACAAAGAATTTCAGAAGGAAATCAGCTTGTACTTTTAAAATTACAGCAAAGCCTTTGTGTAGAAAATGAAAAACCTTGAATTGCCCTTTAAGAAATGGGTATAGTACAATATTCAGTTATTCTGATGCATAACCTGCATTCGGGACAAGAGGCTACTGCCAGAAGAGAATGTGTAGGACCAGAATGGAGTCCAGTTAGCAAGGGAGTAATTTCATTTCTCCATCTATTTAAACCAGGGGTCCTCAAACTACGGCCCGAGGGCCGGATACGGCCTTCCAAGGTCATTTACCCGACCCTCGCTCAGGGTCAACCTAAGTCTGAAACTACTTGAAAGCACACAACAACAACAACAACAATCCTATCTCATCAGCCAAAAGCAGGCCCGCACTTCCCATTGAAATACTAATGTTTATATTTGTTAAAATTGTTCTTCATTTTAATTACTGTATTTTTTTTCAGTGTTTTTGCACTACAAATAAGATATGTGCAGTGTGCATAGGAATTCATTCATATTTTTTTTCAAATTATAATCCGGCCCTCCAACAGTGAGGGACTGTGATCTGGCCCTCTGTTTAAAAAGTTTGAGGACCCCTGATTTAAACTATACACTGAACAAATAATGCATACAGTTGGATTAGACATCAGAATTGGAGGAAAGAAAAGCTGTTTAAGAGATGCAGGGGACACCATACTAATAAAAGAAAATAGCAGACTTTGAATGACTACAGAAAAATACAAAACCAGTCCTACAGGGGTATATGAACAAAAGATAATACCAGAGATTATTTGTATAACTTTAAAGCAGATGATGAAGACACAGACATAGTCAAAAGCTTCATGCACAGTGGCTCAGTTGTTAATCAAAATGGAAACTGCAATCAAGAAATTAAGACTAGGAATTGGAGGTGCAGCTGTGAAGGAACTAGACAAGAGACTAAAGTGCAAAGATATATCACTGAATGCTAAAGTCAAGACTATGGTGTTATATTTCTGATTTCTATGTGTGGTTGTGAAAGCTAGACAATAAAGAAAACTGTTGGGAGGAAAGTCAATTCACTTAAAACACGATGTTGAAGCAAATTTCTGTGGATACCATGGACAGTTTTTTAAAAACCTAAATATTTGGTTTCTAAAGCAAATCAAACCTGAAATCTCCCTAGAAGCCAGGATGACTAAACAGACATTTGGTTATATCATGAGAAGATGTGATTCATTAGAAAACAGTGATGCCTGGCAAGGTAGGAGGGGGTAAACAGAACACATTACAGGTGGCTAGACACCGTCAAAGAGGCCATGGCCCTGAATTCACAAGACCTAAGCAGCTCTGTTGTTGATAAGAGGATGACTTAGAGGTCTCTTGTTCATAAGCCAAAATCAACCTATTGCCAATTAGGAACAAAAAACTGCAATTTGAAAAGATAACTCAGTACTAGGTTTCTTAACAGTATGTCCTTTCAGATACTACCTTTTAAAAGCTTGTGTGCCCCATTGTTCAAAACCAGCTTGAAACGAGCTTGATGATCCACTTTCTCCTCTGCTCAGTGTCAATTGCATTTTATGTTTCTTCTGCCCACCTAGCAGTTCGAAAACACACAAATGTGAGTAGATCAATTGGTACTGCTTCTGTGGGAAGATAACGGTGCTCCATGCCATCAAGCTGGCCAAATTACCTTAGAGGTGTCTACAGACAATGCTGGCTCTTTGGCTTAGAAATGGAGATGAGCACCACCTCCAGAGTTGGACACAACTAGACTTAATGTCAGGGGGAACTTTTACCGAAACATTCCTAAAGCAACTACCGAGGCTTCAAAAATGATATTTTCTTTTAAAGTCTATTGTATCACACAATGGTGAAACACTCAATTTTATTTAAATTTATAACCTTTGCTTCTTTTTTCTTCATGTAGCTTCTGTAATAGAAGATGCAGATTTAAACCATCATCATGTTGTACTCCAGGAAAAGGTATATAATGCATATCTTATTTTTAAATGAACCTGTTACTAAATATTTTCAGTCTGTGTCATTGTGGAGTTTCTGGCCAAAGATGAAAACTATGAACTGATTGCAGATACTTCTGTAGAGTGTTATGCACAAATCTGATGTTTTAAAGGATTTTCTGAGGCCAGAATTGCAGCACCTACTTCTGCAGTAGATCAGTTTTCTGTATTAGATTTACAGACTCTTGCCCTTCTAGCAGAATGAATTTTATTATAGTCTCCCATTCAAATTAAAAATGTTCAATATCCCCTCCATATTTGCTCAAAAATAGTTGTTATTTGGCAGGATTTTAGCAAAACTTCTACACCAGTTGCCAATCGGTCTCAACAGTGGAAATGTATAATATTATATCTTGCTACATTCAGTAGGACACATTTCCAAATTAATATGCTTAGACACCCATCCTGACAAACTTAAGATGAGTACAGAAATGTTCAAACTGCTGCAATTGGGAACGAATTGGCCTTCACGGGTACTTTCAGTAGGTATTAAAACTTTTCTAAATACCTGAGAGGTTATAGGTCAATTGTTATTTTAAAAATGAAGGAGCTGAGTGAGAGATGCTAGAAGGGAAATGGTCTAAAACAGGGCTTTCCAAACTGTGTGTCGTGACACATATGTGCAAGCCTGTAGCCGGGGGGGGGGGGKGTTAGGGGTTCAAGCTGTTTTAATGTCATTCAGTGTCAGAGTACTCAGAGAAGGCAGAGCTCCTCTGAAAGAAAACCTATGTAGTTTCAGATTCAATGACTTGAATGACGTTAAGACAGCTCTAAAATCATGGGTCACAAAGCAAAACCGTGAATTTTTACAAAATGGTTTTGATGCCTGGGTTAAACAATGGCACAAATGTGTACAAATTTATGGTGACTGTTGAACGGTAGTTTTGCGTAGAAGATAGTTCAGACTATGATCTGTAGCAACTTCTGCCGTTATATGTTCATTTATAATGTTTTTATGACACAGGAGGCAAAACCTTTTGACCCACCTGCATACATTGAGAACTAAACACTTTAAGATGGAGATATATTTGTTAAAATCAAAGGTGTCTTACAATTTAGTATGTCTTATCACTGTGTTAGATACAATTCTATTTTTATTTACAGTTATGCAGTGTCCTCGGTATTGGCTAGACAGAGTTTGGGTCCGTGACCCTCCCCCCAAAGGATACCAAAATCCATGGAAGCTCAAGTGCCCTTATATATCTAACAGCATAGTAAAATGGTATCCCTTATGTTGTTGTTGTTCATTCGTTCAGTCGTCTCAGACTCTTCGTGACCCTTATATACAATGGTGAAATTAAGGTTTGCTTTTGATTTTTTAAAAATTATTTTTGGAAGTGAAATGTTTTCAAACCACGGAAAGTTGAAACCTAGATATGGTAGGGCAACTACCATTAAATAATACACTGTACCAACCTTTTTCCAATGAGTCACTAGGGGGCAGACATGAACTCCAGCTTGATTTTCAAGGGAGTTCCAGAAGTTGCTGATTGAACAGTCAAAAATATTTTATTTATTCAAAGTATGCCCACTGTGTCTTCCTTGCCAAGACATTCCAAAATAATTGTTGAAATTATAAATTAAAGAGCAGTAAAATCATAGTATTACCAAAATGAACAAAAATATGAATGAAATTGGGATGGATTTCTTGGAACTGATTATTTTTTTAATCAATTAACAGTACCAAGGTGAAGGGGATGTTTTATTTTAATTGTTAATGGCTTTTCTTGTTCTTTATCAGCAAATACCTCCTACAAAACTGACAGATGTTATGCTGTGAAGCATTCTTGAGCAAGCATTGCCTGGGTGTTTTCTGACATGTGTCATTTAGAAAAAAATGGCTGATAAGTGACATGAGCCTGTTTTCTGTTGTGGTGCAGTCATTGTTTCAAGGGTTCCTTGATACAGCAGTCTATATCCTTAAGCTCCTACTGCAAACACTTGTGGATAGCAGCATTGCATTTCCCGCTTGTTCTTGAGCCTCTATGTTGTCTTCCTGAATCTTCACAATTAAAAGAGTGCTTTAGTGGAGTGTTATTGCTAAATATGGCTGTATAGACTACAACATTGTCAGTGAGTAACTAGAACCCCAGTAACTAGACAGTAATGAGAGGGACCTCAGACTGATATATGTTAAGTCCTATCCCACATAGTCAATAGTGAGAACCATTGTGGAGCTGCAGTTGGCATTTGAATGGCCACATTCTTCCCATAGCTATTAAACATATTATTTTGTTATAGTATTGAAGTGATTTATGGGATATGGGAGAAGGGTTATAGCTAAGCATGATTATTTAGTCTCATGGAACATGATTTTCAACAGATTGCATAAGACACCTTCCCCTTTATCTTTTACTACTTAGTGAAGATAATTTCATTTTGACAGGCATTTCTATTCATTTTAATTTAGTTCTGATTATGGGGTATAACTGATTGCTGTGCTGTCTCTAGTTAAAATTAATTAAAATGTTTATTTTGTTTTTTGTATGTTAACTGCCCAGAGCAATCATTTATACTGTAGTATAGAGACAAGATAGGTTTTATCTAAAGAAATACAATTGGATTAAGGTGTTAACACAGTGGGTAATGTGATTTTGCAAGAGAAATTGCATTAAGTTGTTAATCATGTTAAGCACAGGCTTTGTAAGGAAAGAATTAGGAACAGTGTGTCTGTTATTTATTTGTTATATTTATATCCCATCCTCACGCTGTTGAGAGAATGCCTTTAAATAGATTATTATTCTCTTTCCCACCCTCCTCCCCATATTATTTCCACTCAACAACCTTGGGAGGTAAATTGGGCAGAAAAAGTAACAAGGTCAAACAGTAAGTTCCATGGTTCTGTGGAGATCTAAGACTGAATCAGAGAAGTCTCAGTTTTAAGACTAATCACTTGCACTACAGTTTGTCTTTCTGTCTCCCTCTTATCAACAAGGAAATAAAACCTCCTGTTGGATTGAAATCTGAGAACTGCTTTAATCATTCAAATTAACTTAACACATAGCTGGAGGCATCTTTGCACTTCACACACACACAGCTTTTTATGCAAATTTTTTTATTTTGTTTTCAAAAAAGAGGGAAAACTCAAAGAAACTATTAAACAAAGAGGGAAATTATTTATTATTCATTTATTTACTATATTTATATCCCGCTCCAAAAGGGGACTCAGAGTGGCTTACAGACTATGTCAAAATTCAATGCCTCATTATACATACAAATAATAAATATAACATTTCAAACTATACAACAGTTAAAACATATATATACAATAAAACAGATTAAAAATAGTTTCCCAATCACCCTCCCCGACAGGCCAAACATAAGCCTGCTAGTAAAAGTGGTCTTGTGTGTTATTACCATGAGGTAAGGCAATATAAAGTGCAAGTTAGAAGACTACAAAACTAGGGTACAGGTGTCACACTTTTAAAACACAAGGTCTTAAAGTGCAGGAGTGCTAAGGTAGAATGAGGGTTTGGTTGCAGGTTTCCTCATGGGTAAGACCAGGGCCGAGCAAGACAGCAAAGCTGAATAACAAATACTCAAGCCACAGGGACTCTCCTGTAGAAGGGCCCAACAAAGCTCTCCCAGGCCTCTAGATCAGTCCTTTTTATGTTCTCCTTGGAGGCTGCTGGGTCAGCTGGCTGGAATGCTGGTGTGGCTGTAGGTCTCCTCATGGGTAAGCCCAGGGCCATGCAAGACAGCAAAGCTGGATAGAAAATGCTCAGGTCCCAGGATCTCTCCTGCAGCAGGGTCCAACAAAGCTCAAAAAAAGAAGGGAAAGGTGGGAAACATCACAGAATATAGCATGTAGGTTACAGAGCCATGTTAGTTAAATAGTTTTACACATGAGTCTATTGTATTGTCAAAGGCATAGAGGGGGAGGGAGTTTCTTTATACATATTTTTAGTATAGGAAGGAAGTGAAAGAAAGAAAATTTCCAACTATGACATCTTCTCTAACAAGAGTAACAGATTATCCTTCAAGATCCATGTTGATTTCTTTTATCTTCTAGTATTGTCCCTTCTTCTCTTCTCTTCCAACTCTGCTTAATATTCCTTCATTAATCCATTAACTAATTTCTACCCTTGATGACAGTCAACTATCTACATATCAAAGTTAATTTCTCTTGTTAGTAAATTAGTAATATACATATAAATATTTATTTTAATTATCATTCACGTAGGATCTACTCATAATAAATCTTCTTATATAAAAATATATATCTATATTATCACCCTTCTGGAAGTTATACATTTTTCTACTTTAACTCAGAAGTATTAACTCATCAATTTTTATGACTTTTTTGCTCATAGATATACAAGTTAGTTTATGTATTATTTCGTAATATTTTTAGTTCACAAATTCTATTGCAGTCATCTTCTTCAGGTTTTTTTAATGAAATCCATAAAAGGTTTCCATTCTTCTAACAGTTTTTGTGTATTATTTTGTTGTAGAATTAAAGTAAATTTGTCCATTTCAGCAATTTCCTTTTTTTTAAATCCATTCATCTGGTGTTGGTGTTTTTTGTTGCTTCCATAGTTTCAAATATTCAATTCTTGCTGCTGTAGTTATGTACAGGAAGATTATTTCCTTGTGTTTTAGCATATTCTTATCTAATAGTCCCAATAAAAAGGTTTCTGGTTTCAGTGTTACTTTGTTTGTTTTTTTAATTATGCTTTCAATATCAGTATGCACTTTTATCCAGAAGGCTTTAGCCCAGGCATGGGCAAACTCAAGCCCGTGGTCCGGATGTGGCTCTTTGGGGTCTCAAATTCTGCCCCCGTCTGCCTCATCCCTCCTTTCAGCATGCGGAAGTGGCAGCCCACATTCCTAGGCTGAGAGGAGGACAAGGCAACCACGTGTCTCCTCCTCCTCCCCAGGTGGAGAAGAGTGCAGAGAGGAAGGCAGGCCACTGCTGGAGAGATCTCTGGCAATGGCCTGTCCCCTCCTCCTCTTCTCCACCTGGGAAAGTGATGGGCCACCATCTCTCCAGGTGGAGAAGAGTGCTGAGGGGAAGGCAGGCCACTGCCAGAGAGGTATTTGGCAATGGTTTGTCTTGTCCTTTCAGCCTGAGAACCCAGTGGGCGCTGCATCCCCAGGCTGGAAGGAGAACTGGGAGGAGGGCTGCAAAGGCCTCTTGGCTGCCACCTGCTTCACCCTTCGCCCCAGAATCAGGACGCGACGAGAGAAGCATGGCCTGGGGAAGGAGGCAGGTAGCAGCCAAGGGTTCTTTGGAGCCTCCGTGGTCGCCACCGGCCTCACCCTTCTCCCGGCATCAGGCAAGGCCCCATCCTGATGCTGAGAAGCACAGCCTGGGGGAGGAGGCAGGTGATGGCCAAGAGGGCTTTGGAGTGCTGTCTTGCTGCTACTTGTGTTGGCCTCCTCCCGGGACAAGGACGGGGTGAGTGGCACTGTCCTTATTCCGGGACGACTGCCTCAGGAAGATATGTGGTGGTTGAGAGCCCTCCAAAGCACTCTCAGCTCCCATGTGTCTCACCCTCCTCCCAACATAAGGTTGAAGCGAGCGGCTCCATCCTTAGGCTTGGAGGACAGCCTGAGGATGACCCGCCCCTGCCACTCGTGCCCACCCCAGCCCCACATCTTCCTGGGCATGCCTCACCCTCCCTCCTGGCCTAGCCCTGCCCTTCTGGAATCCCGGGGGCCGTACTTTGACAAGGTTTTGAGCCTTCTCTGCCAAAGAATGCTGGTGCCTCACCAAACTACAAATCCCAAGATGGCATAGCTTTGAGCTCTGGCCATTTAACTAGAGATGACATCCGAGCTCCAGGTGCAGCTTCTCCTTTGGCTTTGGCTCAGCACTAAGATTACTATATGAGGCAAATTGGAGTACACACCAATTTTAGCAAAGTAATTTAGCCAAAACAAGTGAGCACTAGATTTGAGTAAGTATGGTAAATGATGTGCAGTTATCTCAGTGAGTTAAATAACGTGATGTACAATTTCTATAACAAGCTTATCTAGTCTGTTGATTGGAAAACGGTGTTTACTAGGTGAAATAGCAATTTTAATACATTTTGTATCTTATAGGTCCATCAAACAGGATGAAAGCTTTGAAATGCATTGGTCAAGATCCAGATCCATGTAAACTTCAGATCTCAGTCTTCTTAGATTTTAGCACTCTTAAGATTCATCCATCCAGCTATCATATGCAGTCATTGACTAGGAACAAATCCAGTGGACTTGGTTAAGGATGTAGACTGTTTTCCTATAAATTATTAATTGATATTCTACATATCTGAATAAACTGACAGAATTTTGCCATCTTTGTTCAGACTCACAGTGATACAGAAATCTGGCAAGATGACTATTGTGCCTTCTGTACTTCCAAATACATAAATGCTTTCACAGCTCGCTTCTAGCCAGTGAGGCAACATCCCATTTGTTCAAGTGATCTTTTTGTTTAACCTTGATGAAAGAGCTTTTCTAGTAATTAAATTTATACAACTGTAGTGAGCCCAGTTCCAACAGTCTTGTGCATAAATGGAAAGCATCGGTACTTCTGGGAAGGAAGGTTGTATGCATAGGAACAAAGATTAACAACTTAACTTTAGCTACATATTTGTACCCTTCTTAGTTCAGACCTGGAAAAGTCTTGCTTTGTCCAGGAGCTGTTTTTCAGGGGTTGAAAGGGAGACTCGAAAAGCCCTGTCCTATGCAAGGAACACAACACTTAAATCTTTGAATTTTAGCAGTGCACTGAAGGTGCATTGTGCAAATTAAGCATTTAGTAGAGATGTAGATTAATCATTCCAAGAATCTCAAATTCTTACCTCAATAAACAAAAATAGTTTCAAAACGAAACCAAAAGTTGATGAAATTCAAGACCACTAAAAAGGGACAAAAAAAAGAGTTACTTTGGGTCAGCGAGCAGTGTTGGTCAGTGATGGCAACAGCAACAACTCTGAAGCAGCTCTGCAGGCTGTCAAGCTGCTGAGGACTAAAAAGGAAAGCATGTCATCGGAGTTGGCCTAAGCAAGGGTGGAAATACAGGGTTAGTCAAAATGAATAGGCCAATAAGAAAATTAATTTTAGACGAATGTATGTTTACTGTAACCAAACCACAGCTACGTAGCGACAGATAAACTATCAAAGTTTTTTTTGAGCAACACACATGTACGTTAATGCCGCTAGGCGTCGCTAGGGGTCGCTGTTTTCAAAATGGCGGAATCAAGCAAAGAGAAGGCGTTTTGTGTGATGACATTTGCTAAAACAATGTCAGTAATTACGGTCCAGCGAGAATTTCAAGGGTTAGGGTAAGGGTTAGGGTTAGGGTTAGGGTTAGGGTTAGGACCTCAACGAACACCTTCCCAGACGTTGCTGCATTCGATGCCATTACGTCGGATGTGCTGCAACGGATGTGGAATGAACTGGACTATCGCTTGGACATCTGCCGTGTCACACGGGGCGCCCATATCGAACATCTCTGAAGGTGAGACAAAACTTTGATAGTTTATCTGTCGCTACGTAGCTGTAGTTTGGTTACAATAAACATACATTCGTCTAAAATTAATTTTCTTATTGGCCTATTCATTTTGACAAACCCTGTAGTAGAGTAAACCACTTAAACCAGTGCCGATTTGAATTTGCAATGTATTACAGGTAGGTAATACACATGCAATACACAATACACATGCATAGACATCTTCCAAATAAGGGTGCTTATGCATGTAGGAAATTTTCCAATCCAGAAGCATACATTAGAGAACTAGCTGTCCTGACCTACTTTCAGAACAATGTAGTCCAGAAATAAGATAGTGCCAGTTGTTGCTATTTTGATATTTGTTCTTTGTCATTTAATATTTGCCTTTCGTGGTCTTGTTTTGTGTGTATGTATTTCTACAATGTTGTATCCTGCCTCAAGCTATGAAGGCAGATAGCAAATAAAATTTATTGTTGTTACTACTGCTATTGGTGACTCCTGATGAGTGTCCATCTTCCTTAGATTCACCCCACCTAAGTTTTCAATAACCAGAAATCACAATTGCGTTAAACATCTCCTTTTGCCACTTTCAATAGACCTACCACATGCCTTTTTACTTTTTCTCTTTCTTCACCTTACCAGTCTGTTTAGATTCTGCTTCATTTTCTCTGGTGGTACCTGCTACTGAGGAGCCCAGCTCTCATTTTCACTGGATGCCATAAATATTTTAATAGCAACGCTGCTCCTGACTCGGAGACTTGTTGCTCATTTGGCATTTGAATTTTAATATTAGCCACATTATGCTGCTCACATTCCATGACCCGCTGACTCACAGCCTTGGAAAAGCTCAATGAAATTAAATTATCTTTCGCTCACTGCTTCCTCTTCTCTGAAGGAAAGCGGTATTGTCTTTTAACTCCATCCACTTCACTCTTTCTTCTCTTCTTGCTCATTAAATCAATAGCTGTGACTAACCTAACGGTTCTATTGAGCCTTGTCTCAAGTGTTGTAATTAATTTAAATTATAATTAGGGCAAAGACAGAAAGGGGGAGGCAGAATAACTCAACTAGTTGGCAAAGCAGGATTTAAGAACTGAGGGGAGAGAGTGTTAAGGTGGCAACGGCTGTAATAGGAGTTCTGATGATTCCTGCCTTGATCAGGTTGGTGGGATGTTACCAGTGTATAGTGGATTAAGCTTATCAGAGAATTTATTTCCACTTACCACCAATCTCAGACTTTCTCATCCAACGTTGTGGATAAACAATGAGGCATCCAGATTGTCCACCTCATGATTTGTTTTTGGAGAATTAGTAGTAATTTCAGCTGCTTGGAAGCATTCAACTGATTTTTTATCTCTTGAAATGGCAAATATTTCAGATATTTTCAGAATAAGAATATCTGACTATACAAAGTTGGGCTACGGAATTTTTTCCTTGTACTGGATAAGGCTGGCTTTTATTTTATTTTCTGTGCATATATGCCTTGTAGCTACATTTCTGTTCCTGACAGATTGTTCTTGTTTCCAGGAAGAAACCATACGTGGAAGAAATATCTAAACATAAAGAGATTTTGGTTTTGGAAAAGTAGAATACTGCTTTTTTTTAAAAGCATACTATTCTCATGTATTCATCAGCTCAGCTCACATAGCAGTTTATCCTAACCTTGCTTTCTTAAGTCATGTTAGATTTATTTCAGGTCCCAAGCAGATATTATCAGGCGGCATAAGATGCATTATATTTGACTCAAGCCAGTCATGGCTGCAAATGAAAAGTTGGGTGAATTAAAAGGGCGCAGTCTGTGACACGCAAAAGTGCATTGTAAAACTTGATCTGACATCTTTAAAAGGTATTGCAAGTGTAAATGTTTCATGCAAAAAGAAAGCTAGTACTTTCTGTGCTTCTCATGAGACTACCTGTAGAACAGTTAAGTTGCTCCCACAGAGTCATTTGATACTCCATAAAATTGTGCTCCTGGGGAAACCTTACAAGCAGATTTGCATGATTCTTCCGCCTCTTTAACACAGACAATGACTGCACAGCATAACTCAATTTGATTTTGACAGGTTTCCAATGGCATTAAAATGTTATGCTTTGTCATTCCATGCAGTTTTCTTTATAACAAGGCATCAATTAAAATCTGTTCACGTGGAATGTACACGTTTCAAAAATGTTAAGAATAAAGGCATCAGGCAAAACTTAGAAAGAAATGGGTCAAATGCTCATGTTTACCCATTTCATATCTCTTTGTGCAGTACTGGACAAAAGGGCGTTCTATGCTCAAAACGTTCTTGAATTGTGCACTAATGGCAGATTTATCAGTATTACTAGAACAAATTTTAGTAATCTATGTAGTAAGCTACTGAACATTTAGACCTAAACCTGTGAGATTTAGCATTATATAGTATCTAATACCCATTAATACCTTAGGCAGCTCTAAATATCAGATTCTATAACCAGGTCGAAATCTCTGTATTTGAAACATTAGAAGAAACATTAATTTTAATTTCCTTCTCCCTTGCTTTTATCCTCACCTGGCATGTTCATTCTAATCCTAGCTTTGACTCAGAAACGGGATTACCACAAAGGAACATGTGTGTGCTCAAGAAGCTGAAATCTGTAGATCAGTCAGGGAATGTAATATTTGATTGAAGACCCACATCAGGTGCAGTGCCTTGTGAGACCAGAGCAATGCTATTTCAGTTTAACACAAAATGCTTTTGGAGGCTATGGTCCCCAATCCTCTGCAAAATCCAAAAACATATAAAATTAATATAATGGCTATCCATCCAGTTTTTTATTTAGAGGTTTCTGGGGGGAGTAGTTCAATCTGTAGAAACTCTTAAAGAAAAAGAAGACTTCTGAACATTTTATCTTACCCATTCCTGACAAACAATTATAAATGCAAGCCTCTCCCTACGCCATCCCCAGATTCCAGTGCAGAATCTCCTCTACCTTCATTTGAAACAGCATATCCCATTGAACCACCTAGAAATATACCTATGTTTCCATTCTGCTTTGTTCGTGGTCCTCCTGAGAACTGTCCAATGAACAAAAAAATTGGGAGCTGCGTTATATAAATCAGACCACTGGTCCTTTTATTAGTGTCAAAACTGATTAACAGGAGCTTTCTGGGATTTCGGAATGATACTTTCATATCCCTGCCCAGAGATTCCTTGTAAAGTTGTAGTAATGAACTAAAATGCATGGATAAAGTTTGCTAGACATTCTGAATGAGATATTCATCTTTTGTTCTCTTCTTTCTTCCTTTCTCCCCAAGTTTATAGCACGCATTACAACAAATAGCCCAAGAATAACCCAATCTGTCTGGAAGACACTGTGAAATTCTAATACTTCTAATAAGCTGAGAAGACAGAACTGTAGGGAAATGGGAACTTGACCTGTACCACAGAATAGCAAAATAATGATTTAATGAAGGTAACACCTACAAAACCTTATTTATTTCTTCGCTGTATATGCAGTTATGGATAAGTACAAGATTCATACACATTTCATCAGTATAAACTAGCTCTTTGCATTGAATCAATTTATCTCAATTCTTTAAGAAGTTGAACAGAGTGTTATAACTAACTTTGGTCTGAGATATTGTCTATGAAAGGTAGTATGATTAAATTTGCACTATTGTTAAAACGTGTAATTTTTCCTATATAGCATAAAGAGCACTACAGAAATCTGACTTGATGCTAACAGTTTTTGTTTTCTTTGTAATCATGATGCTTGATACTAAAGGCTAAATAGATATTACAGAACATGTCATATAAAATAATCTGAATTATTAAATAGGTGGCCTAAAAGAATATTTAAGAGGGTAGCTCTGCTTAGAAATAAGGAAGCCCCCAGCCCACTGGCTCCTTCCACCATGGCCAGCAAATTACATTTGAAACCCTTGTTCCACTGGGACAATATGAGACTATTGTGTATGAGACTCTAAAAAGTTTTCCAGTGGTTTCAGTCAGCAGAATTTTCAAAACTTCTAGGTATATGTGTGTCAGAGAGAAAACATGTTTTCAGAGGTGTGTGAATATGTAAATATATAGTTAAATTGATGATTGTGTATTATGCACACTATAGATCTGTGATTCTTAACCTGAGAACAAAGATCCAGTCCATGAACCTTCTTCCTCTTTTTAATTTTATTTCCGTTCCTTTCTGCAGGGCTGACCAGCCCCACCCCTTTTGGTACTCATGCTGGAGAGTGGGCCCTGGTCAAAAAAAGATTGGTAACCACTGCTATATATGGAGAAATCATGACATTTTGGAGGAAAAGGCAATTATTGCTCTCATGTGGCTCCTAGAAGGCTACCAAATGTAAAAAGCTTTAGCATTCAGGAGGAACATAACCCTGGCCCTCATTGCAAAAGACCATGCAGATCCAGAATAGGTTTCCACAGTCATTTATGGACCCAGTATCAAGAATCTTCCTTTGGAAGACAACCATACTCGGCTACGAGTGATCGCCTCTGTTGGTGAAACACTTAACATGATCCATTCAGATCCCTTGTTTAAGGAATGTGAACTCAAGATAAACAATTAGTTTATTAAACTACACAAAACAAGCATTTGTTGCCCAAACAGAAAGTATTCATAAACATACACTACAAAAATGAAATTGGTACAGTTAAAGGTTCACATTGGTTAAGAAAAGTGTATCAAATGATGTTTAGTTTTCAATGTAATAAGTGAGTTATTAAAAATATACAAATAGGCAATTTTATGTTGTTTTCTGTATTTAGGAGCAGAGCTATGCAAAATATTGTCATTATCAGTTCTCAGAACTCTGTCCACTGAAAGGCCAAAATAATAAAAATAAAATGGTGCCCATTCTCAAAGTTACTTTCATAGATCTTTTTTGTTTCAAATGAGATGGTTATTGCAATAAACAATTGTCAAAATATTTTAATATGCAGTCGTGGTCTTCAAATATTTTCATTACTATTAGTTTCTGTTGTAAAAAAAAAAATCCAACCCCCTAAACCATTTATTATCACAGCAAACCATAATAAAAACATCCCAACTATATTATTTCACTACAGAACAAAATTCACAGACCATCTAACTGGTAAATTCCACTGACTCTGGCTTGACAACTCAGTAAGGAATTACTGAATAAATCATCTTCTGTTGTTAAAATAAATGCAAAGGGGGATAACCAGAATGATGTTGTTTACATTTCTGAACAGAAAACATTCACAGTGATGCAGGAACAACCCATTCTTAAACATTTTACGGGCTCAACTAGATACCTTCAAATCTTTTTAAAGCCAAGGTACCATTTGCTCAAACTTTATGGATGTTGAATTCATAAACACTAACACTCAAGCATAATTAGATACCAAAATTGGAATTCACACCACATTCTAGAAAGCTGATGTCATACTTTTTTGAATGCTGCAAAGGTTTCACATGTGCGTGAGCAGCACGGTTATTCCAGAACAAAAACTGTCACCTCCACTAACTAGTGACTCTGTAAGCACTTTTGTTCCATGAGTAGCAGTGCACAAGTTTGACCACTGCTTTCAACAAAGTGCTAATTTTTCAGGAATTCAACAGGCATTCAGCGAGTAGAGAGAAGGAATTCTCCAACAGTTTTAAAAGTTTGATATATCATCATTTTGCAAAGTTGGATATATGCAGAATGCACAAAATCAAATCAGTATCCCAGACAGGTAGAACTAACCAGATAACACTTTCATACTGTATACAGAGTTGAATTAGCAAGTGTATGTCACCTTGAGGCTATTCGGCGTTATGAAGGAAGTGTCTTTGAACAAAATGTACTGGAATTTTCTTTGATTTCACACACACCGTAAAAGTTGTTCACAATCTCGTTTCAATTAGGCATACATACAACTGTCTAACTCTACAGAAAGCTCCCGTTCGTATCAAAGGTTATTTCAGTTAACAAGCCTGATTTGCAAACCTACATATGCCAACATTACAGTATTCTAACATTCATTTCAGCATATGAAGAAATTCTAGAACAAGATTACTTGAATGTGCAAAAAGGAGCAGTTCAGTTTTATTAAATCAAAAATACTATTGTCCAAAATCTACAGCAGTGTAAACATTTTAAAAGCCATCTTTTTTAATCTTACAGCGTTTTAAATAGTTAACTATAGGAAAACATAAAACTTTCACTTGTAATGGCTTATATTCCTGTGTAAGTCATTTGCTTTTACCTATACTAATTAAAATTGTATTACAATGCCAAAATGTATAATATGTAGAAAACAGTAAATGTTCTAACTTGTTAAACATCATATTAATACTGTTATTGTAGTATGCATATCAGTGATTTCAGACAATTAAAGCAACATTTGAAATTTAGGCCCCATCCATTTTAAAATTCAGATTGTGTAGAAAACAAGAGATTTTCCAGCAATCTCTTAGTAAAGAAATCTGTTTAGAAAACTTGAATTTCTGTAAATTCAGTGCAGCTTTTTTTTAACTTTCAAGGCATAGATTATAACTAGATGGTGTGAGAGATTTTTTTTAACTTGACATACCAAGCCATATATTCACAATATCAGGAGCCCGTGACTTTAAGCAAAAAAGCCAACAAAAATGGGGGGTAGGGACCTATACACACTTATGTACCTTTTAAGCATTACTTTAGAAGAACCCAGAATATGAGTCTTGTGTTGGAATGTGTTTTAACGGAAAAGTAGCAATACAAGTAGTGAGCAGTAAGGTAGGGATGAGGGTAAATCAACCACCATAGCATAGCGGAACTGGTTTGGAACTGATCTAAGTCAGTGTAGATGAGCCCTATGTCTTAGACTGAAAGATTCCATAAACAAGAATACTTTTATGCTCATCGTGGGTAATGTGGTTGACTTTCCCCTCAAATCCACCTCACATGCTCCAATTAGTAACCCTGGAGTCCTGGAGTGTCTAAAAACCTCTAAGGCAACATACAAACATGAGTGAAATGATATTTACCTCCATGAACAAAAACACTTTCTGTCCTAATACTGTGATCTAGATTTAAGCCTATAAAACTGAAACTGGTGAAGCCTCCAATGCTACTTAAGAGACTACTGCATGAAAACAGATTGGTATGTAACTTTCAAACTTCCACATTTTATAAATTTTCTATTTTTTCTGCTGTGACTCACCTAATTGTAAGACATTACATTTTAATTTGATACAGCTTACCAGAAAGGAGTAAAAAAGGAAAAAATAGTTTTTGTACTGTCATGCCACACTTGCTAAAACCTTCAAGATATATTATCCTGTTCTAAATTAGCAACACAGTAGGAAGTGGAAGCCAATGTTATTCCTTGATAACTTAAAGACTCTGAGGTAGACAAAGTTTGTTTCTCACTATCTTAAGCTCACCAGTAATATAAAATCTGAACTTCAGAAATACCCAATGTTTAAATTTTACTTGCAATGGAGGAATTATAATCATCTCCTTGTCTTCATGTTTGTGCACTAACTTTCAGGTTTACATATGGAACCCTATAACAGACCACAATCTTTAAATTTCACACTCAGTCAATATTACTACCCAAACATTACATTTTCATGTATTTAATTCATAAGGAGAAAGGGGACTGCACACACTCAACATTGTGCATGTGTGTGTTCCAAATGTTAGCAAATGGTGTGCTTAAGGTAACTGAACCTTATTTGTTCCCCAGCAAAATAATCAGATACAAGCACTATATTCTAAAATTGTTTCTTCCGGGTGATTTCATGAACATAAAAGCACGGGTATTTATTTTTCATGCAGGTGCAAAAAATGGAAATTTGACCCTGAACACAGTGACTTCTTCAACTTCAAATTGAATTATGGGCATGAGTGCACACAGCTGGATTGTTTCCCCCGGCACAAGCTGCCACCTTCAGCAAAAGTTTAAACTGTTCTCATGAAATGTATACAGCAGTGTTTAGTTTACTCCCTGCTGCAGAAAAGAAGGCAGTTACAGCTTTGTATACAGACCATGTACATAAAATCTGGGTTACCGCAATTCATAAATCACATCAGATAGTAAACGCCTTTTACAAACTGGTAGAGGTCCGCAATGTAATAATCTTAATTGTATCACCATCAGGAATTTTCATGAAGTTAAGAATCTCAGAAGCTATAACCTAATTACTGCAGAATACTTACAGGATTATTCCCCTTCCCCTGTTTAAAACACTGCAAGTTTTAAAACTGGAAACTTAAAACCCTACTTTCAAATAAGTATAATCTTCAAAATGACAACTTAATTGTTAGAAAGGAGGAGGAGCTGGTCTCATACTGTATAGTACTAGAATCACCCAAGAACTCATTTATGCCGACCAATTAGTCAAGGACTTGCTAGTCTGTTGACAGTGTAATGCTGATAGTAGGTAGTCGCTGTGGAATTGACTGTTTACTTGGAACGATAAGTTCTGTTTTTTCAGCTCCAAAAATAAAATTTTCCTCTTGCAGACTACACACTGAAAACCTGTTTCCCTCTGTACTGCTGTGATTATTTGGGACCACACCACCACTGACCTGCTCAAAGGATTTACTAAAGAGCGTGGTGCTCGTTCTAGCCAAACTATGACTGCCAGGCTTAGGTAAGGATTGGCTACTAGTCAGAGTCAGTCTCTTTAGAGACAAGAGCTCTAGATTTTCACTCATAGCTCTCTGGCTTTGTTTACGAGACAAGTGTTCTTTATAGGATTCACCAATAGCTTCTTTTTCTTTTGCTCCAACTTTGCTTCCTCCAGACTTCCGCTGACTCTTGCTCAGCAGAGCCTTGTTACTGTTGGTGCTGCTGTTTGATAAAGCAGAGTGACTTGTAGTAGAAGTAGCCCTAGAGTAGAAACCTTCATCAACTTCTGTGACGTCAATTATTTCTTCTTCTGGAATTCCTAGTTCACTGCCTGCATTGAGAAAAAAGGCAGTTAATAAGTGGATGTAGATTACTATTTTGTAGCTGATTGAGTACTATACTATTATATTTTGGCATGTCTCAGTGCAAAGCAAAAGTCTCAGGACCAGCCAGGAAACTTACCCATTATATCAATCTGACAAAAGGAGTACAGTAATTTGTTTTACATGATTAAAGTGTATTTAATAAAGCAAAAATCATGCTTCTGTTTTCATTTCATATAGATTTTTTAAATAAAGCACTCCTGTTATTCATGCAAAAGATTGAAAGATTAGATGATTACAGAAAATTAGAAAAAGCTGGGAACCGAAGAATGAGCAAGGTTATCTACATACTGCATAGCAAATTAATCATGGAATGAATAATCAAGGTACCACAATAGCCAGTATGGCATCACCTGCAGGCTCTCACATTTTTAGCAAACCCAACTGTGCTCATCTTTTTAAGAACTAAAGGTCATATTCTGCAGTAAAGAATTATGAACAATGATATGTCTGGAAATCAGACACACTTGGCCAAAGTTTTTTTTTAATGATAAAATGAATACAACAAATAAAATGGTCATGGAAAGTGTATATTTGGAAGATTAATTTCCTTAACTGAATTTATATAGCTAAAACAAAGGCAATGACTTCCAAATAACCACAAAGGCTATCATAGTTTGCCATTTGAAGTCTCTCAGTGTGGTTTCCCAAACTAAACTAAACTTACTTGCTACAAACATGCTATTATTAATGTATTTGGCACAGAGAGTTCTTCTGTGTGCAACGCATGCATTTGTGTCTTGTTAAAAGATAACATGCAAATATCATTTACTGTATACTGCAAATCCTTCAAACATGCAGAGATGACCTTTTCAATCAATACCTTTCAGTGTAGCTACACAGTGCTCTGCTAAAACTGCACTCTGCCAGGTGAGCTTATTCCATCCTCCATTATTTTTCTTACAGATTTTTGCCTCCTGATCTCTGGCAAGCTTTTGCTGTCAACTCTAGGATCGGTAGGCGTTTCCTGTACACCCTGTATATGCGGAGCATCACTCTCTGCAGGTGCTCTGCTTTTTTCCCCATTCCCGGTTCTCTCTCCAGCCACATTTGTGACACTTATCTCAGGTATGACAAAACTGCCCGATTCAGTAGTGTCATTAGCATTATCTGGTTGTTCTAGAATTGAAGATGAATAAGACAAAATAATAAAAAAGGATGACTGAAACAAAAATCACGAAGACAAAAGAACCAAAAAGGAAACAAGTCTGACAAAACTAAAAAGCTGGATGTTATGAAGTATGATGTTTTTGCTTGCTGGCCTGTTGTTATTTGGAAATATTAGTAAAGAGGTAATAAATTACTTCTACATTAAGTACATGAATTGACACCACCAAACATTAAAAATGAAACTATAGACATTAATACCAAACCAAAATCTAAGGTAAACTTAACAGCAATACAGAAATGTAAACATACATTCCTGCCAAAGTCAACTTTTAAAGACAATAATAAATTTGGGAACTCCATAAGAAATCACATAGTTGTATGTTAGGAAACCAACCAATTGATAGTTTTGCAGTAGTCATCAAAATTTATGCCTTTCTGCTATAGAAACGTAGGCATTTATCATAAACATGAAGATCTGGAAAGCTAAAGCATGTAAAGGAAATATTTTCTGGAAGTTATGGAATGTGTATATTTTTAAAGTTTAATACTGCATTTACTCAAAAGAAATGCATGCCTTTTTGGCTACACTGCTTAGCCAAAATGGAGATGTGCATTACATTAGATGGTACATTACAATCACACGCCAGCCTCGGCCCAATGGAGGGCCTTTGAATGAGGCCAGCTGGGAAGCCATGCCCCTCCACCAAGCCAAAGCTAGCCGGTTCACCAGTCTTGGCATGGAGGGGTGGGGGTGGTACCGCTTTCCTCCAAACCAGCTTCTCCTTCTACTCCCAGCTGGAAGGAGGAGGAAAAAAAACCTCTCCCCAGCCAGCTTCCCCTTTGTCTGTCATCAACTGAGGGGCAAAGCGGTATTCCCCCCTCCCCCAATCCCCACCATGGCTGCAAGTGGAAGGCTATCGCTGAGAAATCCATTTTTTTAGAAATGTGCATCTCAAAATTTGAGGTGTGCATTATAATCAATGGCATTAGCCTTTTCCTTTTCTTTCAGGGTTTCAAAGCAGGACTACAATAATTCCATATCTGGGCTAGTCACCATCTAAATTGGCTTCTAAATAATAAAATACATTAAAAGAAATGAAAGGCACCCATTATCTTCCTATTCACTAGATTATCTTAGAGTGCTTTCAATGTGATTTTGGAGAAATAGGTGGAGAAAGGGCTGTTTTGAGGCTAAGGAACCAGCCTCTCATGGAAACTATCAACATCATGGAGCATAACCAGTCTTCTATTCCAATTAAACAATAGGAAACACTATACCATCACAGTGCTAATAAGAATATGAGCTGTAGATCAGACAAATCAAAGCATGATTTCCTAACACAAACCTTTTGTTCAGTGACACTTTGCAAGTCATTTCAAACACTTATATCCTATTTTAGAAAATGCTTAGAACAGTTTAATAAGATAATTAATATACAATTATCCACTGAATGCAATAAAATGGTGATAAAAATGAATCCAAGCAGTTTTCAGTACAATCATTTTTAGCAAAATGTAAGAAGTGCCTTTTGTTGCTGAATGCCCAACTTGTAATTAGCAACAATTTCAAAGCATCTCAGTTTCCTGTTTCATTTTTCCCTCATTAATATCTGCTCCTTTCATTAACACTTTAATAAATTATGAAGCAGCACTGTATGCACTCCAAGCCAATTGCATTGCACAAATATTTAATATTTATGACAGGTACTTTTCCTTGCATATTTAACTCAATACATAGCAACAGATTCTTCTAAAACTGTCCAATTGGATAGTAACACATTCCAGCTACTAAAGTTTCTGAAATGGCAGCCACATGAAGCTAATGAATGATCAGCTAAGATCACCATGCTTTAAAAAAACACCTACATGTATCTAATCATTTTTGTAGAACAAAATGTATGGCATGCTTTCAAAACACATTGTTTCCTGACAATGGACTTCTGTAATATGCAAGTGTACCAGTCTGGATACTGTCCATACAACTGTGCGACATGGTCAGGTTACAGAAGTAGTGCTTTTATACTATGTATAACAGACTTAAGGAGATCACGTAGACGCTAGTTGTATTCACCATTAATGACATGGAGAAATATAGACGGTATAATTATTGGAAATTATCACCAAAACAGTGACAGAATCTATTATTTGTTCTGAGTCACAGTTCAGACAAACTATTTTGGTGAAAAGATTTAAGTTTACAATCTCATTGATTTTATTTTCACCTACAAAGGTAAGTTTTCTTTAAGGAGCCAAGCAATAGGTCATTTATCTATAACTAGTGCTTTGAGCAGTCATATGTGAAGTCACACAAATGGGATATTGTACCTGCACAGTCTTTTCTAAAACGATTCTACAGCTGAGTAATTTTGATTGGAAGTGTATCCTGACTCCCCCATAATGCATGCTTAAGCATGCCTCATAACTTTTTGCTCAATTCTGTGTTTACCACATTTTAAGCCAATGTGAAAAAAGCGGAGGAAGTGTTTTGTGAATTCACAGGTTACCACTTGAAGAAACGGTTACAGGGAAGCAACCTGTTTTTACTTGTGGTCTACTGCACACCAATGGCAATTAAGCATACTGGCTCACTGGAGGACAGTTCCATGTCAGGAGAGCAGGGATAATAGGACTGTATGCCCAAAGAAGGCACTGATTCTCACCCACACATCCACGTACTAAACAAACAACATTGTAACTTTGCCCAACTCTGGCAACAGAAAATCGTTCAGAAAGGAAGTTGCCACTATCTTTGAATAATGGTCTAAGATTTTTCAGGAAAAAAAAATGGGAGAGCTCACAGGTGAATATGATAGTCTGCACTACCACTTCAAGAATATTTGGAAAGAGACTTGCAGACTGACATTGGGTGCTTATGAAAGGTCACTCTGTGGTTGACAAAAAAGTCAACACCTTTCTCATAACTAAGGAATGTAATGCTCTCTCTAATTGTGTTGAGGTATGGTTGTAGTCACAGTATTTAAGACAACCATCTTAAGGGTAAATAAACACAAATCAATCATCAGCAAAGAATTGCTTCACTGGAGGTCTGATGAGAGGAATCCTTAGCAAGAGCAAACCTAATATTTAGAGCTACTAGATAGGCCAAATGTTCTGAGTGTAGTAGAAAGTACAAAATGGACCAATGGACAGAAAAGTGTCACAAAAAAGAAAGAGAATTGATTCTACTTTGCTGAGTAAGAGAAAAAGTGGAAAGCTTCTTCATTTCTTATAAAACAGTCTACATGTGTCAAGAGAAAGTATGATTCTCTATGCCATCATGTGCAAAGATGCTACGTTCGCGAAGATAATAGACATCAATGACTGGAACAACAGCCAATGAGAAAATAGAAAGAGCATGGTGAACCATGGTTGATATAGCCATCATATAGAGCTGTCAGAATAAAATCTGACCTATTCCCCTGTGCCTTCGCAGGAAGAAAGCTATACTATTGGACACATAGGAAACACTGTCCATGGACTGAACCTTCATTCCTGCTCTCCTGTAATACTTGGCACATTTCTTGTTCCTCACTGTTGTAAATAGATCTATCTCATGAGAGGAAATGTAGAAATTGCTCTGATGAGAGAAAGGAGACCTAGTATCTTTTTCCATTCACAATCCCAGCCACATCTCAATTCCCAATAGTGGTTAGAACAAACTGAGCAAAGTGAACCTTCTTCAAGTATCCATCTGAATTAACTATAACACAATGGAGACTGGTAGTTATCTCAATGCCAAGGTGACTAAGCACAGGAAGGATGTCTGGAGTGTGATATCGAAGCCTCTCCTGATAGAGTGTGAGCAAAGGAGAGTTCTCATTTATTTGAAATGCCTCTTAAATCTCCTACCTTGAACAGGATCCTATACAGAAGTTATCAGGGAATGTCACAGAAATCTATGCCTGCCAATTCCAAATGATACCAATGAAATAAGATCTGTGTCCACAGGTTGTGAATAAATTTTCAGAAGCAACTGTAATGAAGATACTAGTACTGATGAAGCAGTCTATGGTTGCTACAATGTCTGAAACAAAATAATAGAAGAGATATCAAAGAGGTCGCTATCAAGAAAAGAGGGGGTTGATGCTTCTAAGAGGGGCATAGACAAAGATCCAGCTTCTGATTTCACTTTCTTTGTCTTAGTAGCCTCCACTTCCTTACTTTGAGAAAGATGTTTTATTGAAACATTGTATTTAAATTCCTGACTGGTGTGTATGTGTATGTGAATGGAAGGGGGGGGGGATGTCCAAGGTTGTAAGCCTCCCTGAGTCTCCCTTCGGGGGTGAGAAGGACAGGATATAAATGTCTGAAACAATAAATAAGGAGAAAGAATGCAGAAACAAGACTGTGACGTTGCTGAGGCACCTGTCACTAATCACAAATCATGTGATTAGATACAAGGTTGGATCTAAAGCCATGGCTCAACATAAGAGGGTTTCATCAATAGTGGCAGTGTAATACTTGACCTCTGAGTCCTAAGCCACCAGACATGCTAAGCTCAACCTTTTTACTGGACAGCCAGCCAACTGTAGTAACCTGCCTATGTTCATCAAAACTTTACAAATTGGACAAGACCGAATCTTATGAACCTTCCTAAGCACTCAGTATGTCACTCAAAGTAGTTGTAAATAATGGTGTAGGGAAAAACAAAAGAGATTTCTAAACTACATAGAAGAAAACCACGCCGTGTATCTTGACGATTCATTAGTTCATGAGGACATGCTGTTCAATACTGCTAAAGCATTAGACAAAAAGGAATTGAGAAAAGATAGCTGAGACACACTTCCGCATGAGAGAGTGGGAATGGGATTTCAAAATTTCTCATCTCAGAAAAGAGTTCTCTGTGCAGGCACAAAACCTCATTTGTGTAATTCAGAGATGATATCAAAAAGCACAAAGTGTCCCCACATTTTGTCATAACATTATGATATCACCTTTCTGAACAGAAAGCTCAGAACTTATTAGTTACTGAGAAGACTCCAGCCATACTTGCATACCTGGCAAATTATCCTTCTTCTTAATAAAGTTAACGTTTATCCTTACTGGAGTCAGTTGCTTTACTAAAACTAACAAGCCTCTTGCCTTATTGTTATCTGCTGCAGCAAACACTTGTCCTAATCAATGACTCGCCACATTCAGCACCTGTGTCATCAGGTATGACTCCTGCTGCAAAGCAATATTAAAAAATGGTTTCTGAAATATGCAAGATGTTCATTTTTTCTGAACTATCAATACATTTATAATTATATATAAAGGTAGCAAATTGTAATTAGCTAAAAAAGGAGTATTATGATCTGTGACCTTATAGTTCTATGTGTTGCTGTATTTAAAAACAATATGCCAACTTTTCCTTAAAAATTTATTATGTGCAAGGCAAAATCAGTAACCACGTAAATCAGAGTTTTGTTTTTTAAAAAACTTTTAAGAAAAGTAGCATCTTGGTATTATAGTATCATTTAGGAGATGAGACATTGGTACCTACCTACCATGAATATTAATCCTTAAATAGCAGCAAGATAGTAGCAGATAGCAATTCACTCTGTATGGAGCATCTTTCTATGTTCTAATTTATGAGAACATAACTCACTATTTGCTACCACTGAACTCTGTGCATTAGGCTTTATCCACAGGCCTGAAAACTGAAATACTCTATAAAGCTACAAGCTGGCAGTCAAAAATCATTACTATGCATTTTAAAGTATTGTTGAAAACATTAATATTCACAAAAGAAAATTAGAAAAATTAACTTACGGACCATCTCATACATAATGTATACACTTGTGCACTCTAACAAACATATATTATATAGGATATATTAACTAATATATAAAGTAAATATAATCCATACACACACACACACACACATTTTTCAATTGTAAGAAGCCATTGATTGTAAGACCCATCCTAATTACAGAACCAACAACAAGAAAAATACATAATATACATCTGCAAAGCTAAGATGCACCCCATTTTTAGAGATGTCTATGTAGGGGGAAAGTGCACCCTAAAAGTGAAAAAATACAGCAATCTCCTATACAATAAAACAGAAAACAAAAAGTGACATATTGATAGTGCACGTGCCTTGGTTCCTTTACCGTTTTACAGCAGTAAATCCACAATCATTACTGTGCTGCACTAAAACACAGCTGAGAATTCTTAACCAAACACATAAGCAATCATCACTTAAGACAAGATAACTGCACTTAAGAGTCTTCTGCAGAATAAGAACATTCGGATCAGTTATATTCAGGTATGTTCGGGATCCATTTAAGCAGTCAAAAACTGTAATTGTTTCATGGTGACTATCACATGAATAAATACAAATGAGAGACCTTACACTCTAGGAGTGCAATATTCCTTAACAAAAAGCCAACTGTAATTTTAACAGCCAGGGAATTACCTTAAAATAAGTAACAATCACTGTTACATAACTTCAGGTGTTTTGTGATGTTGAAGGTCCAGGCAAATATCCACATTAATGTGGTTACTCTGGGAGTTAAAATAATATACCTAAACTGTCAACTGGACCAAGAAGATACTAAGCATGATCATATTCTAGAGGTGGGGAGTTAAGAGATTCAATCTGCAGATGATTATGAAAATGTCAATGCAGTGAATGTGAACTGAATAATAAGTACTATGTAATCATTGATATTCATGCACATTAAGGCCAGATCTTAGTTTAAGGGGGAGAAAAGGCCATCAAAATAAGCTCACCAGCAAACTTTGTGATATTCTCTCTTTATCAGATGTTAATAGACCCCCTTTGAATACCCACACTACTCTCACATTTCAACTTTAAGATTCAGTTATAAAAATGTTGCAAAATACAGGACCAGGAGCTTCAACTTTAAGATTCAGTTATAAAAAAAAAAATACTTCTCTTACCATGTCTTTTCCATCTATGACCCCGAATAGACATGCTGGTTACTGCATTTCTTGATATTCTAGATGCTGTAGGCGTAATTTCAACCTGAATACCTTCTTTACTAGATTTGATGGCACCTTGAGGCAATGAAGCTTTTATTGCATTAGCAACCTTAAGAAAACAAAAAATAAAACCGAATCAATCTGATTGTGGCACTTTCCATCAGTGTTATATAAAGCAACATTTACACATACACACACACTCCATATAGGAGTGCATTTTGTAAAACTGTTACATAAGACAAATGTCAAAACAGGTAATGCTTGGCTTCCATCACTTTATAATTATATTCCTTCAACGGATTAATGAACAATTTAGATTGAGAATGCCTGTTCTATAAGCTGCTAAAGAAATCCTTTTATATTACTGAAAGTAATGTTATTGAAAGTAATGCATATATGAATAACAGGAGACATGCAATTACATAGTCACCACAGTGGCATTGCATTTGTACCAACTGTGAACCACTCATCAAATCCACTTTTCAAAAACTCTTTCATGCATTCCTCTTCACCAACATCATTGAATCAGCATCCCTGAAGGATTTCCTTTATTCAACCACACAAGTGAAAGTCCAAGAGCATTAGATCACATCTGTAAGTCAGATATGACACCATTTATGCATATCCTCATTATATTTGTGATAAAGCATAGAAACCTCGAAGTTCAGAACAAAGAGCTCATGCCAACAACTCTTAAACAAACTACAAATTTCGTTGAGCCAAATTTTCTTTTTATAGCATGTTGCCTTTTTGTAGTATTTTCAATGGCTTGATTAACAGAAAGATGGTATATAAATGTAGCAAAAGCAGCAAACGGGTTGTATTACTGTAGACATGCTTTATATGGTCGCTAACCTGTAACTCTGTCATATCAATTACATTGCCTTACAAACACTTTCAAGGGCTATTTCTGACTGTTGGCAGCTTTAAGGTCTTACACAACTGTTGCTGCTGTGCACTTTCATGTGGTTTCTGACTTATGGCAATCTTAGATGAACCTCCTATCATGGTGTTGTCTACATTGTTTTCCCCTCTTTGTTTTCTCTTTATTTCCCCTGCAAAGGCTAGAAACTGTCTATTTCACTGTTCTATAAATGGTTTATTACAAATACTACTTTAGAATAATAGAATCATAGAGTTGGAAGAGACCTCGTGAGCCATCCAGTCCAACCCCCTGCCAAGAAGGAGGAAAGTTGCATTCAAAGCACCCTCAAAAGATGACCTTCCAGCCTCTGTTTAAAAGCTTCCAAAGAAGGAGCCTCCACCACACTCCGGGGCAGAGAGTTCCACTGCTGAACAGCTCTCACAGTCAGGAAATTCTTCCTAATATTCAGATGGAATCTCCTTTCTTGTAGTTTGAAGCCATTGTTCCGCATCCTAGTCTCCAGGGTAGCAGCAAACAAGCTTGCTCCCTCCTCCCTATGACTTCCCCTTACATATTTATACATGGCTATCATGTCTCCTCTCAGCCTTCTCTTCTTCAAGCTAAACATGCCCAGCTTTTTAACCCGCTCCTCATAGGGCTTGTTCTCTGGACCCTTGATCCTCTGGACACATTCCAACTTATCAATATCTCTCTTCAATTGTGGTGCCCAGAATTGGACACAATATTCCAGGTGTGGTCTGACCAAGGCAGAATACAGAGGTAGCATGACTTCCCTGGATCTAGACACTTGGTGGTTTATATAAGTATTATTATTTACTTTATTTGTACTCCACCTTTCTTCCCCATAGGGACTCTAGGTGGCTAAGAATCCCACACTTCGATCATAGTAGGAGAAAGGTGAGAAGAAAGGGTATATTACTATGTAAAATAAAATGCACAAAAATAATTTGATATAAAACACCTACCAACAATGGTTCTGGATACAGCTCCAGTTGCGCTCTGTATAAAACATCATCCATTGCTTTACGGGCCAGATCCCATTCTCCATTATAACTGGAAAAGTTAAAAAAAACTGACTGCAAATCAAAAAATACTAGCTATCGCTACTCCATCATAGCCATACTGTTTGTTCATCCTTAAAAGGTCAGGTAGAATTTTGCAAGATCTTCCTGTTTTGTATTAGATTGTATCAGAACCCCAAGATGCAATGTCAGATCATCTGCTGCCTTTCCCAGCAGTGTGCTCTATGTTGAACAACAAAATACAATTCAATATGCCAGTTAAACCCATGAATTAAATGCTTAGTTATATCTAGCTGAAATCTATGAGTCTCCTGAATAGATTTTAGGAAACTGATGTTTGCAAAGTGTCTCTGCAACAAGAAGAAATTTGCAAAGTTTTCCAGAAAGGATTTATCAATGTCATTCATGCACACAGCACAGAACATTAAATCAGATGTGATGCAAGAGGTATGTGATAAGGATCTCCTATTTTCTAGAGTTGTGAAGCATTTTGGTTCTTCTGCCAAAATGCTTAAATAATAGCTCTTAAATACATTTGTCAAACTCAAGGCCCTCGGGCCAATTCCAATTCACCATGTCCTTTTATGTGGCCTTCAGATGCTGGATTAAAACTTCTGTATTCCTAATTGTTTGACATCATGACTAGAGCTGATGGGAGTTATGATACAATAAGGCTGCAGTTTGTTCTGTTTAGTCAGGATAGTGGGGTTTGAATGTAGATACAAGGCTTGTGGATATGATGTCTGACTTTACACTGTCCTTTAACCTTTCCCCAGTCTGAGAACCACAAGTGCTTTTAGGATGCAATTCCCATTATCCCCAGTCCACATGGTGGGAAATCAAAGGTGATGGGAGTTGTTGTTCAGTAATACCTGAAGATCCAAACTGGGTAAAAACTAAAGATCACTGAACACTATCTAAATATATATGTAGCTGGCCTTCTATATCCATGGATATTTCGCGTCCGTGGATTCAATAGCCATGGACGAAGCTAAAGTAGCCCTCAATGAAAATGAGTTTGACATCCCTCGTATAGGTTTTGAATGATACAATGCACCAAGTACAGCTTACACGTTTATATGAGTCAGAGACCTCAAAGAAGAAATACAGTTTCCAAAGGCTATCCAAATTAAGGATTTATGTGCACAAAATTCACGTATAGTTGTTTTACACATAAAACAGCATTTTATACAAAGAAAAGAATGCAGAAATATTAACACAGAAAATGCTGTTTTCTGCTCACAAGAATCACATGCATATTTTGCACAAAGTCAGTCTCAAACTGTGAAAAGAATACATATCACGGCTTTTCAACACTGGAAAAACAATTTTTTTTACCTTTTAAAAATATTTTCAAACTTTTTTCCCAATTATCCTACCACACATTTTTGTGCATGTTCCACGTTAGAATAGAAAAAATGTTCATGATCTGAAGTCTGAACACATATGGAGAAGAATAAAACATATTGCAAAACAAATGCATCATTTGAAATTTCAATAAAAATAAAGGCATTTTTAAAAGGAAAGGTTCATTTAGAGGGGCTCAAATCTGCCAAGTATGTAGCTTAATATTTAATAGAAATGTATTTAATATTTAATATAAATACAAATGTTGATGCTGCTCTATTATGCAAGCATACTGTACTATACTAAAGGTCCTATTAATTTAATATACAAAACATTTACTCACAACGCATAATAAATCCCAGTTAACATTTGAACCATGAATTCAGAGGAAACTGGAATCCTGCTGTTTATGCCTCGATATTTCCTCACTTGCTGGCGAGGATATCCACAAACACAGATCCTAAAAGAAACAATATTACAATTAGTACAGTTAGTTTAACTTGACTCATTGTGTGTTGTAATTAAACGATTACAACATGAAAACTATTGTGCATTTGCAAGTCAAAAGGATTATCTATAAATGGTGCAATCTAACATTATATGAGTTTGCTTACAGCTAAACAGAGACACTGGTTTTTGCACAAATCCCTATTAAGATCCAATACTTAACGGGTAAATACAGCATGTTCAACAGATTCTGACTGATCATTATAAAACGTCCAATCTGAAACCTAAGGGGGCATTTACCGTGCTAAAAGCCTTTCAGCATCCATTGAGATAGTACCTACAATACTAAATTGGGAGTCCTACAACTCTTTTTTCTTCCTCTGGCTCTAAATCGGATCTTGCAATTCAGGCAGACAATTGCTGTTCAAGAGTCTCAGCTAGTCCAGAATTCTTGCACTTAGTCAAAATTATTTTCAGTGCAGTCTAAACCCCCGAAGTTTGTTCATTCACTTTGTGTTGAGGCTTAACAAGTAATATTTTTCAAACATGTTTCAAACAAGTACAGTCTTCCTACTTTGTGTTACCATTACTGAGTGATGAACCCAATATTAACTTGACAGCAAACAAAATATGGTTTTCATTACCAGTGATCTCTCCTAACAAATCTATACAAAATACCATAATGTAACCAATGGCCTTCCAAGAGAATCCCCCTTGGTTTGATTTTTAAAGGCTTCTACCTTCAAAAGGTTTCACCTTAACCCTTCAAGAAAAGCAATAGCCCTGCTAAGCATCTTCATCCTTTCTCTTCATCTCTAAAAAAGATGGCATTATTTCAGTCTGTCTCAGACATGAATAGGAATCATCTCTGAAATCTTCCCCGACACAGTTTTTCAGTGCTATGTGGGATACAGGAGACTTGTATGCATGAGTAAAATGCTGGAAAGGAAAAGATTAATGAGATGCCATAAAACATAATTAGAGGCGCAAACTATTCTCACGTTGCATCACTACTGTCAAAATGATCCCTTCACAGCTTTTATTATCATGATCTACAGTGGCTTCATTTTTTTCCCCAGCAATGGGCAAGCAAACTGTAAAAGTGTCAGCATGAGCATCTTTACTTCTTCAGTTAGGTGGAGGAACCTGGCATGGGGTTCCATACATTAACTATGGGGAAAATAGCAGCCAAGGAATCTATCAAGCTAAACCATAACTATCATAAACCAGTTTGATTTCAAATCTAATACTAGTTAGCAATTAAGAGTTGGAACTGGAGAAAGCCTCCTGCTAGGCCTATTTCCAAATTAGAAACAAAAATGACCCTACATCTGGAGGAAATTTGCCGATTCTTCTGTAAGAGTCAGAGTAAGATTTTTTTTATAGCTCATTAGACTTGATTCACTTCCAAATTGGTTTTTTCTGTGTCATCATTTCTTACACTGTAATGTGATTTCAGTACCTAATTATGCCAAACTGAAAAAGGGTTGCTTTTGCATATATATTATTTTCTGAAATCTTATGCATTTTCTCTGTGTTCATCATTCTTTTGATCAAAATTAACATGTCTAAAATAGTTAGAAAAATCCAATGAAGTTTGAATTCAGTGCTGTATTCCACTTTTAAAGCACAAGGCTGTTAATGAAGGCAAGAATCTCCTAATAATATCAGTCAAGTCTTCCCAATTGTGATTGAGGACATTATTCATTTGTATGAATCAACAAAATAACATTCAGAGAAAACACCTGGAAACTGTAGAATTGAGTGATTTCCTTCACAGTGATATGTTTCAGAACTGGGAAGTTCTGACCTACAAACACACAGAGGAGGACAGCACAGATTGCTCATCAATTGTTCACTTCCTAACAATGGTTTATTAAACTGAATTTGTCATATAAAAACTAGTCCTATGTGTTCATACCAGGCATCTTAAAATTGAAGAAACTCCATGACAAGAAGTTGGTATGGATGGTGGTCTCTTCCAGCTCTTTGATTTTCAGCATTTTGGAAGTCCATATAGGCCACGGAGGCTTCAGTGGGTAGAAGATTGACTACAGACCCATCAGATGGACCCCACACTGTTCTATAAAACATTTGATGTTTACTCTGAATTCCTTTTAACGAAGAGAGAGATTGGATTACCTTGAACATATCTGGCATAGTGACTGAAGAGAAACTGCAGGCATATAGCTTAAGGCAGCATTGTATCGCAATAAAAGGAATGTCAACACTTCAAACCTGTAAACATACAAAAAAAGACCTCTGAATAATGGAAACACTTCAAACCTGTAAACATACCAAAAAAAAAAAAGACCTCTGAATAATGGAAACAGACAAGGACTTATATTTACAAGGAGAAAATGCACATTCTGTTAACTCTCATCTTAAAAGCTAGCAACAATATCCAGCTTTTGTTTTTGCAAATGGAGAACATGTAATACTTATGAAAGGGTAGTTCATAGTTCTAGGACTAAAGGTGCACTATGTGCTTTTACCTGTTTTGTGCTGTCAGCATCTCTCTTTGCAAATACGGTCCACTGTACACAACCCTGGATAAGCCATGTTGAGAGAGAGCACCCTCAGTAAGAGCCATGGAACCAATACTGGATGGCTAAAGAAAACAAACACTTGATAAATCATTCAGGAGAAGAATACTGAAAAAAGTTTAAATAACTAAAAAACAAAACAAGTAAATAAAGATAGCAAATAGTTTTTCAACAATCACTCCATGCATATCCGCCTCATTAATACATGCTAAAAGACTACATCCATTATGAGTTCAACAGGGAAGTCAAACATGATAAATGAAATGCAGTTGCACACCATTACAAACTTAATAGATTAAACTCTTGTGCCAGCAGGCTGAAGACTGACAGGTCGCAGATTCGAATCCAGTGAGGGCACGGATGAGCTCCCTCTGTCAGCTCCAGCTCCCCATGCAGGGACATGAGAGAAGCCTCCCACAAGGATGGTAAAACATCTGGGCATTCCCTGGGCAAAGTCCTTGCAGACGGTCAATTCTCTCACACCAGAAGCAATTTGCAGTTTCTCAAGTCACTCTTGAGACGAAAAAAGTGAGGAACCATTAAACATTAAACTACTCCTACTCTATTTTCAAAAAATTGCGTGAGGGGGGGACTGTTGCTCTTGAGAAAGAGATTGGTTCCAGCTTTGGAGCACCACCAAGATTAAAGCAAATAGCAAGAAACAGAGGGAAATGTTCCCTTCCATGCATTCTATGCTTCAATGTATTCTTCACTTTGCCAAAGTCATTCTGTTGTTATTTTACAGTAGACCAAGTTTAGCAAATGGGTCTGCTACTACCCTGTACCTTCTGCCTCTAGTCTGCCAGGGGTGCTTTGAATGCGATTTTCTTGTTTCTTGGCAGGGGGTTGAATTGGACAGCCCACGAGGTCTCTTCCAACTCTATGATTATATGACTATGTATACTGACTTCAAGAATTTGGTTCTTCTAGTATTCCTGTTTCAGCATTATAACCCCCTAATCTAGTTCAAACTGGGCACACAACTGCATTTTCAGAAGGGAAGCTATTCTTATGTAGGATCTCAATGCAATTTACAATCCAGAGCTGCAAACAACACACAACTTGTACAGGTATTGTTGGGTGTTCACTATAAATGATTACCCTGAAGTTTGCAAAAACAGTGCTGGAAAAAGTACAGCAAGTACCCCCACATTTCCACATACTATTCTATCTGCAAGGGGGATTACAACACTCAAAAGGGAATGATATTAAAAAAAATTATTATGCCAATGGTTACACTATTTTGAAAAAAAATAATATTCATTAGATTTGTAGATGCAATAACATTTCTCACATAAATTCATGCAATATAATTATAATGCTGAACAATTACATATTTCATGCTTTCATATAAATTATACTTTTATATGTCGGAGGAGGATTTTCAGCTCTGGGGATCCACTACAGAACACACCAGCCCCCCCCCCCCCAAATCAGAACTGGAAGTCTTTTTGAGTACTATAGAGAGAGGAGAGTAAGAGGGCAAAACAAGCTAGAGAGAGTATTACATTATGTTTTCATTACTGATTCTGGAGGCTTCCAAGAGCTAAAACTGCAATCTGTTTAGCCAGGGAGCCCAGAGATCATAAAACTATCCTGGAACTGGGCACATTCCTTGGTGTGCAAGGCACCCACCCATGTTTTAAATGGAGTCACTCTCTCATCTTGCAAAACCCTAGTTCCCATTAAGCCACATCTAGTTTTTTTTTTTAATTTACAGTACCTAGTTGCATCAACTGCAAATATTTAGGCTGAAGGACTAGGGAGAGCACCTTATGGCCCACCAGCTGCTGTTGTATTTCAGTTCCCATCATCCCTTCAGCCAAAAGTGAAAGATGGGAGCTACACACTAAAAACAGGTTGGAGAATTGCATGTTATCCCTGCATAAGATGACAAGACGGCTACAACAAAAACATGGAAAGTATATTTATTAAACTTACTTCATGATACACTGAAGGTTTTGATAAGGATGGAATTGTGAAACTTAATACCCTACTGTGTCCCTCTTTGTCAACTATTTCCTGTGGGATGTAAAAATGCAAGTTACATGATACTGTGCAAAATATACAAGAACCATTGGTTTATTTAGACTAGAGTTCACTTCAAGAAAAGCTGATATTATCCAACATTACCCAAAGCTGCTGCATGGACACCGTATAATAATTAGCAGTTGTAGAAAGATATATTGTGGAAGCAAGCATATTTTTATTTTTCCTGTTCTGCACCATTTAATCAAAACATTCTACAGATGAAATGTAATAACTTTGATTAATATATGATCGATAAATTGTTTTATTTCAGAAATAGGAATCAATCAAGCACCCCTCAAGAGATTACTGAACACCAAGTCCAATCAGACCGAGCAAGCATAGCCAATACTGAGGAATGATGGAAGCTGTCATCAAGTAACCTGTAAAGGATTAGCAGTTGAACCTCCTTTATCCTAAATGTTTGGGACTAAAAACATTTCATTCCCTCTGTATTTTTAATAGAAGTAGCATAGCATGTACTGTATTTACAGGGCTGGAGAGACTAAAGAAAGATGTAGATTTGTGCTGAGCACTACATTTGGATTCTTGGCATTTCAAAAATTCTCAGTCTCTCTCTAGCTGTGCATCTCTCATATGTAACACAAGTATCCAACAAATGCAAAGCAAGGCTGGAGAGATATCTGCTGTGAAAAGGTGAGAATCCAAGTGTAATGCTCAGAACAAATCTATGCCTTTCACCATTTCACAGATCCTCATGTTTCTCTCAAGCTTCACGTCTTATTCATTTACTATTTATGTTGTGAGTGATACATGAGGTTGGAAGGAGACTGAGAATCCAAGAGACTGCCAAAAATACAGTACCTGTAACTGTACAGATCCACCAGCAACTGCTTCTTTCAGGCAAATGAGGCAGAAGCTGGCAATAGGTAGTAAAATGTTTCAGATTTTGGAAGGTTTTAGATTTTTTGATAAGGGAGGTTCAATTTATATATGACCCCTAACCATGAATAAGACTAATACTTTAACTTTTTCTTACATTATTTCCTATGGAGTACAATTGAATTTCCCAATTTAGCATATAAATTGAACAATTTTCCTTTTCAGTAAGCTGAGGTGTTTACAAAGTTCCATCAATTAGAAATTAGGAGGCCACATTTACAGATACTATCATACCTTGCTCTAAAATGGTCAGATGCTAGAAAACTGTTCACAGAACATATGTCACAGAAATTATTATGTACAGGTAACTGTTAGTCTGTTGCTGTAGAACATAAAGGTCCCTGTTGACATATTTTATTTACAACATTGATCTTGCTAGGCTGAGCTACTCTCAATGGCTGCTCATCATAGCTACTTTTACAGCATCTTGTATTTGCTTGCACGTTGTACTGCCACTTGACTTTTTGAGATCCCTTGATATATCATTCTTTTGTCTCTTTTCCATGCTCAGGCCTGTTTGTGCAGGCTCTCATAGCCATTTCCTGCATTTGATAAAGTAGCACATGCTACAGAAGAGCACTGTTTTAAGTACTGATAAGAAAAATTAGCAATGTCCCTTTCATTTATGCTTTTACAACAATCAAGATATATTTAGTTGCAAATGCATATACTGACTAATTATGCAAATAAACACCACTGTTATCACAAGCATAACATGGTAGTTTTACCATGAATATAATGCAAGCCACTACTATCTGACTAAGATTTTTCTATTACTATAATTGTTTTTGCTTATGGAACACATCATTAAACTGAAATTCACACCCAGATGCAGTAGTGACAGCTGTCAACACAGGCGGCTTTAAAAGGAATAGGACAAATGAATGATAAATGAGGCAATCATTTGTTATCACCATGACAGATATATGTTCCCTACAGTATCATAAATTATATCTCTCATAAAATTAGTTGCGGGGCGGGGGGTCGAGGTTGCTCTTTCACTAATATCCTATTCATGAGCTTCCCTTGGACAAATAGGTGGTATAACCTCTTCTACACAGAGTTGGTTAAAAGAAGATACAAGCATCACACAATGGTTTGTACTCTGTCTCAAGAAAGTTTTAATACATTTCTGAAATGTGAATACAAACCAAGTTGTAAACTCCAAGTAGAAGTGCTTCTATGCAGCCACTACTCTGTAGGTCTTTGCTGGCAGACACAGCAAGATAGCACCATATCAGTTCTGGAAGAAACTGCAATGTAAACTGCAACAGAAGTTCTTCACCACTGCGATAGAATTCAAACAGCTGGTGACAGACCGGCTCCAGCAGCTGAAACAAAGACCACTCTGAGTGATTTCACATATTATGACAATACAACTTCCTGCTTTACAAGGAAACATAATCTGTCTATTTTCAAAAGCACCACTGTTATCTGTCAAATACTACATATATAGAATGCTGTGTGCCTACTTCTTTTCCTAATGTCTTATTAACCAGCAGTAAAGATTTCTGCCTTTCTCCAGCATGACAAATTCCTTCTCCTTCTGATTTCAATAGCAAACAACCTTCCTGCCAGCTGGTTATTTTTAATGTACATACAAAAATGCAATTAACTTCAAAATCAGATATTTGATGTTTAGGGCATTATAAAAAGCTGAAACATACACTGATAAATCTAAGAACAAGGAAATCTTAAAAAATGAAACATGATTTTGCATCATACATACTGTATTTTGTACTTCTCATTACTCTGTCCATATGCACACTTTATTACAGTATTTAATCACAGGCCAACTGTATTACTGTACACATTTACATACCTCACTTTGTGGGTCCTGAATAACTTTATAAAGAGATGAAACCAGAGAAATCTTGTCTTTCAGATTTTTAGCATAGCTTGGAATAGATGCTTCCGGCACAGTCTAATACAAAACATGTAACAGACAAAATAAGCCAATGTTTTCATTGCATTTATAGCTAAAAATACGTTCCTCCTTTCTACTGAGAAAGTATTAATCCTAACATTTTAAACTGTATTATTCTAGGATGCAGATGAGCAGAATGCAGGTTGGGATATACTGAGAAATCTCCCAGATTAGCAAGGTTTTCTGTCTAACCATAGTAGGAACAACATCTTCCACTTCAATCAGACTATGTAAAAAAAAATTAGGATAACTAGAGGTGCATCCACACAGTAGAATTAATGAAGTTTGAGACCACTGAAACTCCCATGGCTGAATACCATGGAATCAAGAGAGTTGTAGTTTCACAAGGTCTTTAGCCTTCTCTGCCAAAGAGTGCTGGTACCTCACCTAATACAACTCCCATTATTCCATACTATTAAGCCATGGCAGTTAAAGGGCTCTCAACTGCATTGATTCAACCGTATATTATACACTCCAGGAGGGGACTTTGTGAGTTGAGTTCAGATCTAATGCCATCAACAGAGCCCTTGGACAGTGCAGATCTGATTCTGCAAACAGATTCCTAAATGCCTGTTCGAATACTCTTGGGATTGTGGGGCAGATAGAAGTTGAAGTCTTCTCACTCCTGTTTGGATGAGAAATAAACTTCAAATAAAAATTAACAATTTCAAATTTCAGCAAATGTTACAAAATAAAAATAACAATACTCTTGACTTTTTATATTTCTGTGTGTAGGCAGATATTGTTGTACCTTCTGCATTTTTCCTTGCAGATCAGTTTCAAATATCAAATGTTATCCACAAAACTTTAAATTATAAAAAGAAAATGTAGTTTCCATTCATGGGAAACAATTCATAAAGGCAAGTCTACTAAAATGCCTATATGATTATTGAAATATCAAACATGATTAAGTCAACATCAAAACAATCTTAGGAACTGTAATGAGTCATATGATAATTCAAAGTGACACTATTGTTTCCTGGCATTTTTTTAAACATGTATTTTCCCACACAAAGTTACATCAATAGAACCTTGAACTTGCTTTAATCACAATGCAAAACTTCTGAAACAGATAGAAGTATCAGATTTACTAAACAAACTATTAGGTATTCACAGTCCTATACAACAATAATTATGAATTATTATCAATTATTATTAATAGTATTATTAACTTTGTGTTTTGTCCTGTCGTCCTTCAGACTTCATTTACAATAGAAGTCTGGGCTGTGTGAAAATCAGCCTAGCCAGAAATAATGCAAAAGAATAATCTACCAGAATCAGCTAAAAATTGAATTACAAAGGGACAAGGGAAATAGACATGAAATAGCTGCATTCTAGCCAATTTTCCAGCTGTTTCATTTTATTTCATTTCACGCTGTCACCTCTGAAATTTCTTTTGGTTTAATATAGTAATGTAGCAACAACAAGAAAATTAAAAAAAATGGCAGACAATGACTTTTAAAGTAAATAAATAAGTTTCCAAATTTCTTAAATTATTCTTTTGATAATTTCTTATCTATAAAGAGGTCACATTTATGTAAAAGCAAGAATTAATCAAATTGAGTAAAGCATGGTCTATTTGTCAAAATAGGTGCCCTTTCCCTTAATTTCTGATCCTGCACTTCCTATTTTACACAAAGATAACTTCATCAATCTCTAACTCAACATAAAAATAGATAAACCATTAAAAATGTGAAGATAATGAAGTTATCAAAGCCGAAATCTAACTCTTAGACAGGAGAACAACTAGCTCTCCACACATGGATGCTGTATGGCCATGTTCCAGAAGCATTCTCTCCTGACGTTTTGACTGCATCTATGGCAGGCATCCTCAAAGGTTGTGAGGTCTGTTGGAAACTAGAAAAATTGGGTTTATATATCTGTGGAATGTCCAAGGTGGGAAAAAAACACTTGTCTGTTTGAGGTAGGCGTGAATGTAGTAATTGGCAACCTTGATTTGCATTTAATGGCCTAGAAGTTTTCAAGGTCTGACTTCTTACTGCCCGGGGGAATCCTTTGTTGTGAAGTGATTAGTTGGCCCTGATTGTTTCTTGTCTGGAATTCCCCTATTTTTGAGTGTTGTCCTTTATTTACTGTTATGATTTTATAGTTTTTTAATACTGGTCACCAGATTTTGTTCATTTTCATGGTTTTTCCCTTTCTGTTGAAATTGTCCACATGCTTGTGGATTTCAGTGGCTTCTCTGTGTAGTCTGACATGGTAGTTGTTAGAGTGATCCATAATTTCTGTGTTATCAGATAATATGCTGTGTCCTGGATCATAACACTAAATAAAGAACAACACTAAAAAATGGGAATTCCAGCCCAGAAAACACACGACAACCTAGTGATACAGGCCATGAAAGCCTTCAACAATACATTATCCACATATGGCTAGCAAAGATCTGCTTTCCAAGAAATGAGACCTGCTAACAGAATATTGTAGTGTTGCTGCTGGCTGAAAGGCAAAAGAGGTTCTATTTACAATCCACATTGCTTTATGCAAGCACAATTGGAGGAGTGAGGGCACAACAGCCTTTAATCACAACCAGCACTGTCTACTGTAGGGCCACTGCATTTGTGTTTAAACTTATCACTTTGAAATACACAATGGATACTGTATGCCTACGTAAGTCAGCTGCTAAATAATTATTCTTTTAAGAGGTTGTGCCCACAGCCAACATTCTAGTAGAGTACATTGTTTTTGTCTACATTTTAATTTTTTTACACTGCTTGGAAGAACATTAGCTGAACACCACATAAATAGCAAAGCAATTTAGCAAACCTTTCAGAATCTTACTCACTATAATTCTATAAACATTCTGCAATTTGTTGTCTACAATTTTATCACAATATTGGATGCTAACCTATATATATTTCAGAAAATAATCTAATACTAATGGGAATTCTGACATTTCATCTTTCCTTCAAACAGCTATTGATAACATAAACCACTTTTACACTGCATTTCATCCTACCAATCATGTGATATAGATTAGGTGTAGAAAGAATGACCGTTTCATCAAAATGTCTTTCAAAAAAACTTCATGGTTGAATGGAACCTTGAGTTTGAGAGCAGAGTTTTAAACAATATGGACTTCAAGAGGCTTGAATTACCTTGAATTCTGATAACCACTCTTCTACAATCCCTGTTTCGGCAGCCAACATCTTCCAACATTTGCTTGGAAAATTTCAAGCCTTAAGATACAAAGAAAAATAAGTTTATTTTTCAATACATTTTTTGCTTTAAAACTGGAACCACTTGAGTGGAGAGAGACAGAGAATGTATACAGAGCAGGCATGAGCAAACTTTGGCCCTCTAGGTATTTTGGACATCAACTCCTACAATTCCTAACAGGCTGTTAGGAATTATGGAAGTTGAAGTCCAAAACATCTGGAGGGATGAAGTTTGCCCATGCCTGATATAGAGAGAGCAATATGCTGAAATAATTTAGTCTGTTGTCGTAATAACGCACATACTCCTTCTCAAAGAACAGCTAACTAAAAATCAGCAGTTGCCTGGTCTGAATACAATATCTCTAATATTTAAGCTGCTTAGAACAGCATCAATATCAGTTCACCAACACAACACATTTGTTCTAAGATCCAAAAATGAAGATAATGAATACAAATTGTAAACAGAATAATGTATGCGGTATGGCCATAACATTGACCCTACCCCTGCAGAGTCAGAAGGAATAACCTTAGTATTGCCATCTGTCAAGGACAAAGTATTTCATGTTTTGCTGAAAGTAGACGAAAAATGTGCATGTCACCTGGGATGCACTTAGCTTCCCGTTGCACATCAGGGGGGCAATGCCAGCTAGCTTGTAGAGTTTATCAACAGGTGTAGATTTAAGACATCCTGTGATTATTTTTTATGTAAAATAATAACATGAAGAATAAATAAATAAATTATTATCTTTCTCCTTTTTCAGTTTTTGCCTTTTAAAATAATATATAAAAGAATGAAATACAGATCTTATCCTTCCAACCAACATTGCTGAATAAATGAGATATGTGATAGAACATATGCCATGATTTTCATAGGTCCCACACACAGCATGGGACATTCCTTTCAAAGGAAGACACAATCTCCTGACCAGTTTTATTCTCACAAAGACAGAGGAGAAAGGCCATAGGACAAGATGTATTTTTGTAAAGTCCTATCAAACTAAGATATGCATATTTATCTGTTGTTCTTATGTTAGTCCAATTACAGCAATTGTCTGGTGAGAGTGAGAAGGAAAAAAGGAGGCACACTTTGAGAACCCCAGGGTGCTAGTATTGAGTTGTCAAGATAATGAGGAAAGCAAGATCCCCTGTCTGGACTATATTTATAACTGAAGAGAACAAGTGACTCATTCAAAAACACTACTCTTTAGAATACTTTTCTGTTAAGGGAAATTATATTTTAATAAACTTAAACTAATAAACATAAGAACTAGAAACAATATGAATTTTATCAAGAAGCACCTCAGATGCATTTTGAAATTTCTAAAGCGTTTTTGCCCTCTCCTCCCACCATTAATATGACATTACACAGATACAAGTTACTTTAAAAGCCACACTATAGGTTCCTCAGTTAAGAAATGAATGCTAGAGAAAGTGTCTCTTTTCAATCAGCACAACTACAATGTGGGTTATAAGAAATATGAGTCACTCAATCAAGACCTTTGAAGGTAATAACACAGTATTATTCAAAGCAGCTGTGCTTTCAAAGTACCACTGTGATACTAAGTTATTGTTTTCTATTGGTTTCTCAAGTGCAAGTTCAAAACAATAAAAGAAAAATATTACTTAGCAACTTTTGTATATATGTTTCTAGGCAATCATCTAGAATGTACCTCAATACTACAATGTCTCTAATTTTCTGTTCTCATTCCACATTCTGCCATACTTATACATTTCAGTTGAATAAATCTAGTATTAACAGTTTGCATCCAGTATTATATGAAAGCTTTTTCTGCATTATTGTATTTTCTATTTGTTTATTTTCATCTATACATCTCTGTGTTATCATACAATGTATCAGGGTATAACATTTTAATTGGATGTTCTCTTATCTGTTATCTGTGATGCAGCAATTTACAGTTATAGCATCAATTTGACAATCAAGACAGCTATCTTTTCTTGTCCCATCCTTATTTCTCCTCTATAAAATCAAGTTCAACCCAAACATATTTCAGTTTGGTGATAATCTGAGGTATATCAAAAGCGGTCACTCGACAGGCATTGCATTAATTCAGACTATGAAACTAACATAAATTTAACAATTCTGGGTGTGCTGTTCTTGCTTTCTAACAGCAAATTGACCTACACCTATACAGTTTAGACCAAAAAAAATGACAATTTAGCATTCCAACTATAAAAATTAACAAATCAGGCTGGCATCCTTGAGCATAAATCTCATAAACTCAAATATTGAATCTGAGGAATGTAGCAATTATTTTATATCTGAAATACTATTGTATTTTGTTCAGTGCAAGACACAAAAAGGAAGACATACCTATAAAGGATTCATCTCCAACTATGTTAAATCTCAGTATTATTTTTGGCAGGTGAATTGTTTATTAACAATGCACAATCAAGACAATTACAGAAGCAAACAGCCAACAACAGAAATATCAGATTAGAATAATACATGCAGATTCAAGCCATATGGTATTTTTGATCAAATTTCAACCTTTTGTTTTATTATTTTTAATGTTTTATTTATTTGTTTATTTTTGCAGAAATTACATTTTTATTCAATGTCAAATACAGTACATTGGTATTATTGCTTCTTCTCCCTCCCCACTCACAAAATCTACACATATACGTATATGTAAACATATACACTTCTAAACAGTGCCTACAGCAATTGTTCCTCATTAAACTATTCCCTCCTTCCACCCCTCCTGCTTCAGTGACCCCCCATCTTTTGGGTTGAAGACAACCTTGCCCTTCCTTCACAGTAAAACATTCATCTATTCTTCCCTCTAGCATAGTGGTTCTCAATCTGTGGGTCCCCAGATGTTTTGGTCTACAACTCCCAGAAATCCCAGCCTCTTGTCCTCTACAAAGAATGCTTCTGTCACTGTGCCCAGAAAGAAATAATCAGTAAGAGATGTAATTTACCACACAATCTCAGCCACAAGGAACAAGAGGCTATACACAGAGTCTCAGGAATCATCATGGAAATATCTGACTGACTACTATACATACAAGAAGCTGAGAGGCAACTGTCCAACATGACATTTCACAGAGCCCAGTCTAATTATCCCACAGATAAATACAAAAAACAATTTACACAGGCTACTGAAGAAATTTACCATGGAGATACAAAACCAAATCTAAATTGACATACCCCATATTGATCTATTACCCAAAATAGATAACAGGGAAATATCGTTAGATATATGCCACCGCCACTCATAGCTATGTGAATGATTTTACAGTCCAACCACAAACTTCCAAGAAAAACTAGCTTAGCCAGAATGGATACAGAATCCCTATATACCAACATTCCACACAAAGATATAAACTGTCAAGAACATCATTCTAGATGAGATCATAACAGTTCACCTCATTGAAGTTTGCCACTCTGATCTCACACACTACTTTATTTCTGGTAATAATATATATCTTCAAGTTAATAGTACCACCATAAGGAAACACATGGCACCATCACAATATGCCAAAATCTTTATGGCTGACATTTATAGCTGATTCCATCTCTGACTTTGATAAAAAAAACCTACAAAGGTTTCAACAGAGACAATGGTTTCCTTGCACACTATACATATTATAACACTAATTAACACCCTAGTCCCAGAAGGGCAATCTTGGCCCATTTATCACATCTCCTTTCTGATTCCTAGACAGCATCACACTACAGTAACTTCATCCACCATTTATATCAAGGCTTAAGGCTACATCTTCTCTTGTTTTCTGCCCCCATCACCATACTCACATATTTTGTCTTTCTATGGGTATTGATACAAACAGTCTGCCTATGAAAATCTGTTCCTAGGAACTTCACTCCATGCACCTGAGAAAATAGACTTAGTCTCTGAAAACATGTGCTATCAACTTCTTTCTCTCATTCTCTACATTACTACAACAGAGATCCTCAAAAGCAGAGTGGGGGGGGGGGTTCCCACAGTCCCCCAGACTGTTGGAGGCTGGACTATAGTTTGAAAAAAATGAACACATTCCTATGCACACTGCACATATCTTATTTGTAGTTCCAAAAAAACATGAAAAAAACAATACAATATTTAAAAAGAATAACAATTTTAACCAACATAAACTTACCTGTATTTCAATGGGGACGTGTGGGCTTGTTTTTGGTTGATGATATAGTCAGTTTAATTAAGATTGTTGCTGTTTGACTTCAAGTTGTTTCAGACTTAGTCTAAATTTTAGGGGAGATGTGGGATAAATGTCCTTGGATGGCCATATCCACCTGCGGGTCTTACTTTCAGGACCCCTGCACTAGAAGATCCTTTTGAATATCAATATAGCAATGTCTCTGAATCTGAACAGTCAAGAGCAACATATGAAAGTAAAATCCTCACGTGTTTGTAAAACAGCCTTAAAATCTAAGCTGCATCACATTTCAGTAGCAAATGAATCATGTAAAGAGCATGTTTATAAAAGAGCTACTAAAACAGCTGAGTCAAGGACAAAAAAGCAGAAGCTGGGTGTGGTCATCCTTTTCTTTCACAACCCACATTTTTAATAATAATCAAGTCTTTTTTCCACAAACATATAAGCTGAAAAGTTTTTCTATGTACTGATGTAATTTTCACTTAAGACTATAACTATTTCTATCCCTAATTGTCTCTGTTACCCCGTTAAAAGGTCAGTTGTGTAAAGCTCAGATCCATATCACATTATAGTTTACGAATAACAAATTTAACAAGAGGTATGTTAGCCTTACAAATAAGCCAAAATTAATACCAAGTGGTGTTGCAATGTGCCTTTGATTAATCGATTCACTAGATCGGTTCACCCTTCTAGTCATAACTTAATTTTGGCTCTTGCACTTTACTACTGCCCCTGCCCCTGTGGTTGTACTACACTAATCTGACTTGGCCCTTCCAGCCTTAATTTATCATCTGCCCCTTGCACTTTGCCATCAGCCCTGTTCTTGCAGTTGTATTGTACAAGCCTCTGCCTCGTCCTTTAGTTCCGAAATGTCCACCATGTTC